CCACCAGTGCCCATTTCCCACCACCACGGATCCCAGTATCCCTCCCACCCCCCATACTCCCCATTCCAAATTGAAACCCAAGCACAAAATGTGTAAGTCTACAACTGTACCTCATGGTGTCTCACTAATAAAAATTTTTTTAAAAATTAAATTAAAAAATGGCAAAAAAAGAGAAAAGAAATTAGAAACCTCCCTCTCACCATCCTAAGGCTCTGCCAAGGACCTGAAAAGCCAAGGAAGAGAACTACTGGAACCCAACAAACAAGACCGAGGAAGGGGACCTGCTGGGCTTCTGACTTCCCGCAGCCAGCACTTCAGCTAACAGTAGATTAAGCTGTTTTTCAGACTCAGAACCCAGGTGTGTGCAAGAGGCTGAAACCTGGCCTGCAAATGACTGGGCACCAGGTGAATCAAAATGCATCCGTTTGCGGATGCACCATCCAAAGCATATCCTGTAAAGAGAGATTCTGCAAGAGAGGGAAAACAAATTTACCTTATACGGACTAAACGCAGAACCCACTAATCATCTTGATCCAAACCAACCTCTTCCCTTATCTGCCTTCTCTCCTACCCCTTGCACTCCCCACCCCACCCCCAATAATCCTTGGCCCCCAAGATCTGGGAAAGAATTTGAAGCTAGCCTCCCCTTTTGGTATTCATTTCCCCTGCAGTAAAACTCTCAAAAGCCGGTGGCACCGTTGCTTTGACTCTGCAGGCTGAAGCCTTCCTGAGTACATAAAGATGAATCTATTTAGACATGTCTAGTGAGATTCAGAGGAGAAAATCTAGTTAAATCAAGCCAAGACTTCTGACCTAGAGAAATTGATAAGTGGCAAATCAATGTTCATTGCAGCACCTCACTTTGAGGTCATCTGTTATGCAGTCACAGAAAACAAATCTGGGCAGGGTAGGGACATGTGCCTGTACCAGTCACTGGGCTGGGTTGAAACCTGCTTGGATCAGTAGGCACTTGAGAAATCTGACTGTAAGAAATTGGAGGGAATGGTTGGAGTCGTAGGAAGGGCTCACTCCATCTTCGTATTTGTCACAGGTTGGGTCAAACTGATAACACATCTTGCTTCCTGCAGACGCGTTCCCTGAGCTAGAGCCAAGGTTCAGAGAGAAGCTGTTTGAGTGCAAACAACGGCTTTATCGACCCTCTCAGCAGCCAGGTGGTGCAGGCTTTTATAAGCTTAACTTGTCAAGTGCCAACAATCTGCCAAACAAACAAAGACATCACGATGAACTGGTTTTCCTAAACAAAGATCCTCTACTTAAAAAAAAAAAAACTGTCATAAGGAAAATTAAGCTTACAATATAAACAAACTTAGGGTGGTTACTTATGATGTCAAAGTGACCTCTGATTTTGTTGTTCTGTTTGGGGGCCACACCAGCTTGGTGCTCTAGAGTCACTCCCAGTTAGGGATCAACACTGAACCTCCTGCATGCAAAGCATGCACCCCCCCTTGGGGATGGGGTGGAGGGGTGGGGCTCTCTCTCTCTCTAATTTTTTAAAGAGTATCCACATGAGCTATCCAAAGACTATCCATTTTTCATGGAATAAGAGCACACTCCAGGGATGGAGAGACAGTACAGTGGGTAGGGAGCTTGCCTTGCACATAGCCCACCCAGGTTCTATCCTAAGTTCCTTGGTCCACCAGGAGTGATTCCTGAGTGCAGAGCCAGGAGTTAGCCTTTGAGCACTGCTGGGAATGGTTCCCAAAGCAAGAAAACCAGAACACATACCAGTCTTTTAAAAGTTGTCTAATTCATGTATTTATTCAGCAAAAATATATTCAGTACCTAGTATGTGCGAAACGTTGACGATCAAGAGGTGAACAAAAGAAGTCATTAAATGCACTACCTAAAGGGGAGGCAGGGCTGGAGAGACAGCACAGGGGTTAAGGAATATACTTCCATGCAACTGACCCCACCATGATCCCTGCACTGCACGGTCCCCACAGCACTGAAAAGAGCAGCTGCCAAGCACAGAGCTAGCAGGACCAACACCACCACCCAACACCACCATTGTATCTCTAGAACCAAAGAAATGAACGAATAAAATAAATAGGAGACTACTGAACTAATTCATACTTGCCTATTACATAGACACACATACCAATATAAAAGTACCGTGCCGGGGCTGGAGCAATAGCACAGCGGGTAGGGCGTTTGCCATGCACGCGGCCGACCCAGGTTCGATTCCCAGCATCCCATATGGTCCCCTGAGCACCGCCATGGGTGATTCCTGAGTGCTGAGCCAGGAGTAACCCCTGGGCATCGCTGGGTGTGACCCAAAAAGCAAAAAAAAAAAAAGAAATTTTAAAAAAAGTACCGTGCTGAGAGATGTACAGGTATTGAAGCACTTGCCTTGCACGCAACTGGCTCCTTGTTTAATCCCTGCACCATGGAGTCATCCCTGAGCAGAAAGCTAAGAGTGAGCCCTGAATACCAATGGTGTGACCCCCAAACCAAACCTCTCCCCACCCTGCCAAAAAAAAAAGCACTATTCAAGATCAGTCAAGACAGTCATAATCTGACTGTTTGGTTCAGTTAGCTTATTTTCACACCCAACAGGCAATGCTGGGGCTACTCCCTGATTGGTACTGGGGGTCCATGTGTCTTGGGGGAGCAAACCCAGACGTCCTGCATACAAAGCCTCTGCTCTAGCCCTTTGAGCCCTCTTCGAGCCCAGCAGCTATAACCTGAGTTTGAGCTCAGAGAAGCCCTCAGCCTGAGTTAGCCAGATAGAGTCTGATAACCACCATCATAAGTGATAAACTGAGGAGCAGAAGAAAGATAATCCCCCAGTGGTGGTGTTAGAATCAATGAACAGGAATGTAACAGCTAATTCGGTGGCCGCCTTTTACAGGCAGTCCCACAGATTGCCTGCCCAGGTGAGCTGCTCAGCCCCACTGCAGTCTTAGAGGATCCCTGAGGGTCTCTAGCACCCAGGCCTTAAAGGGCCATGCACCAAGAGTAACTGAGTTCACAGGTTCTGATTACTGAGAAACTGTCCCACACCATTTGGAAGTTACACACACACACAAACACACAAACACACACACACACACACACACACACACACCACTTTATTAAGTTACTGATTTTATCCCCGTGGTGTTTAAGGAAAGCTGGTTACACTTAACCATCTCCTTAACCAGCTCCTTAACCATCCGTGCCTGTGAATTCAAGCACCCACGGTACCAGGCACAGGCATGGGAAATGCCCGTGGAAAACTGTCAGCACATACAGTCTGTGAGACTAATGATCCTATTAGGATTCTTCTTAAGGCCAAATTGTCCAAGTGAAGAAGAAATCATCGTGAATTTACAGAGGAAAAAATTTCAGTGTGGGTCGAGGAATTAATACAAGGGTTGGTGACATTTCTGTATGTGGAAGGCCAGACTAGTCCCAGCACCACATAGCTCCTGGGCCAACAAACTGGGAGTGGCGTGAGCACTGCCAGATGTGGCCCCCAAGCCCAAAGCTTCCCTCTCATGAAGTTGCCTCTTCCCTAGGATATTTTCCAAAATAACCTACCTGGACCAGAGATAGTCCAGCAGGAAAAGCACTTCCCTTGCACACAGCTGACCTGGGTTCAATCCCCAGCACCGAGTAAGGTTCTCCAGGACTGATGCCTGAGCACAGAGTCAGGAGTAAGCCCTGAGCACTGCCCAGTGTGGTCCCCCCAAATCAAAACAAAACAAAAAACTACCAAATCATACTGAATGACACAGAAAACCTAAAGTAGGAGAGATAGTCTATAGAGTCTGTCTCTTCCTCATGAATGGAAGAGCCAGAGAATAAGGGATTTGGGCGGTGGCGGGGGGGAGCAGGGGGATCTATTTTCTCACTGCTCTATTCCTGGCACCTAGGTCAATGCCTGGCATATCATCAGCATGCAATAAATATTTGTGAAGTGAATGAGCCATCTCTGACTAGAGTGCTACTTGCATGCTTCTCTTCCCAGAGATGGAGGCAGAAGATACATTTGCCCAAGGACACATGACCTTGGGGCCAGGATGCCTGCTACCTCTCTGGAAGAGAAGACCACCTGTTCCAGGCCCTGTGGCCTGACTCCTGCCACACCACACCACCATCAGAGTCCGCCACAAGTCCACGCTGGCTGCAAGAGTTAAGTACTGGGGGGAACATGAGAACCTTCCCCCATCCTAGCAGGGCTCTGAGCAAGTGTCTTGCTCTTCTCTCTCACCCATGGGAATAGTGCACACCGGACTGGGACTGTTCCTTCAGCCTGGACCCCAAACTTTAGTTATCAGTGTCACTTCTGAGACTGATCTCTCAACAGCCCAGCCGACATGAAAGGTGAAGCAGAGAGGCGCCCCACTGCAGACCTCTGAAGGTTGGGGGTTGCCCCTACAGCAAAGCCAATATGCCCATGGTTCGTTATTTAAGGCAGTGAGAATCAAAGAGATGTTGAGACCAAAGAGATAGCATAGTGGGTGAGGTCAACTTGAGTTCGATCCCCAGTGCTCTGCAGAGTTCCCCAAGCACTGCCAGGAGCGATCCCTGAGTGCAGAGCCAGGAGTAAGCCCTGAGCAGTGCTGTGTGTACCCCACCCCGTCCCCTCCAAAACAACATTAAGAACAGATGGGGAAATTTTTAAGAACTAGAAAAGCTGTCTATAACTAAACTCATTAGAGGGCTCTGGAGTGATGATACAGCGAGTATGTCATTTGCCTTGTACACGGCCCACCCAGATTTGACCCCCAGCATCCCATATGGTCTCCCACACCTGCCAGAAGTGATTCTTGAGCAAAGAGTAACTCCTGGGCACTGCCAGCTATGAACCCCCCCACCCAAAAAAAGCCCTCATGAGAGAAATAAATACAATGTCCAAAATTAAAATTTAAGAAAGTTGGAAAATGAGTCCACTTACAAAATTTAATGAACATAGTTCTCAGAAACATTTCTTGTACAGAAATCTACATGCCTTGACACTATTAAGAAGATTTAAAAATACTTGAAAGTCAAACCTTGAAAGGAACTGAAGAAGGTTACAATGTTTGGATGTTTCATCTTTGCCAGGAGAATCACTTCTTTCTTTGAAGCTTCTTTTTCTTGGATGGGCATCTAGATTACATTAAAAGACAGAATATCTGTAAAGATGACCTCAGAAAATCTGCATTTTCCCTCTCATCTGAAATCCTCCAGAAGTTCACTGATTTTTAGAGTCACTTCTGAGACTGATCTCTTAAAAGCAAGAAATGACTTCTAGAATTAGCAGAGTCCTACATCTAATCAATGGTTTGTCAGTGGCAGTCACAATCAAGAAGATGAATATTTTTGGCTGGGACATAGCTCAGCTAACTGTAGGGCACTTGTCACACATTTATGGAGACCGTGGCTTGATTCTCAGCACTATGCAAAAAAGAAAACAGTGGACCGGGATGACTGCACAGGACTGGAGTGCACGTCTGCCTGCTGGAGCCTGGAGTGACCCTGGGCACTGTGTGTGCCCTCAGACGGGCACCACTGGTGGGACCCCTGAACACATTGGGCCAACACTCCAGCACTACTCACCCCCAAAATGGAATAAATAATACCCTGGAGAGAAATTTTTTTAAATGTTAATGGAATTTAGAGAGGGCTTATAAGCAATTTTATTTTCTTTTCAACAGTCTTGTTTTCTCCTTTGGTTATTGTCAACATTTCTACAGTGAACACTTTAATTTTTATTTCTATTCTACAGGGGCCATGAGGGGGTCAAGGATTGAATTCAGGGCCTTATACATGCTAGACATGAGCTCTACCACATAAGCCATACTTTGACCCCAGATCATTTTTTTTCCATTTTAATATTATTGTGGTGCTGGGATCAAATCGAGAGGAGTACTCTACCACTGAGCTATATAACTACACTGACCAAGGATTTTATTTGAGGGCTGTTAAGGTGCAGACTCTGATGCAGATGTCCCTGGTTCAGTCCCTGACACCACATGCCCACCCCCAAACACTACCATGTGCAGCCTGGCATCCCCCAAGCACCACTAGAGTGACCCTACAGGGCCCAAGCGGCACCTCAGCTTCGGACCCTTGCATTAAACCGCAGGCCCCAGTGGGGCCCTGAACTTCCCAACCCCTAAATAAAAGCATATAGTAGTAAGATGTAGTAAGATGATGTAGTAAGATGATGAGAGGAAATACTCTTCGTCTCACACCTGTTGGAAAACAAGCAGTTTAAGTTCTGCAATGCAGAGTTTACCAATCAGAGGGACAGTAGAGAGATGATCCTCCCAGGATGGGAGAAGCATGGTGAAAGTAAACTATAGACCAAACATGATTGCCACTCAATGCCTCTTTTGCAAACCACAACACCCAAAAGGAGAGAGAACAAAAGGGAATGGCCTGCCAGAGAGGCAGGGTGGGATGGGGAGGACGGGGGCTGGGAGGGATACTGGGACCCGTGGTGGTGGAAAATGGCCATAGTGGAGGGATGGGTACTTGATCATTGTATAACTGAAACCCAAGCACAAAAATTTGTAAGTCTACAACTGTACCTCATGGTGTTTCACTAATAAAAATAAAAAATAAAAAAGAAGTAATAAAAAAGTGCATTAGCATCAAAAGGAAGAGAGAAATAATCAATATTGATACTGAGATGCAGTGGTCACTCTGAAAATATGCTCCCCCAGAGAAAGATAAGCACAGGAAAGCAAACAATGAGGCCTGGTACAGTATGTTACTCAGGTAACTCAGGAGTGAAAAGAGGAATAGAAATCAGTGCTTCCATAGAAAAAGGCAATTTTTCATTATTTATATTAAAAATAGAAAAGGTGCAATGATGTTTTAATAAATTTCTATAAAGGAGTCAACCTTCAAGTGTTTTCCCTTTTAATAAATTTCTATAAAGGAGTCAACCTTCAAGTGTTTTCCCTATACATTGAATTAAAATGATTTTATGATTCCTAAGGTGTAGCAGTTAACAATAGAGTTTGAAAGTCTATATCCACTGAACCAATTAGAAGGTTTGAAAGTACATATCTATTGAATCACTTGCCCAAGAAGAATTTGTTGAATAACTACTGGTCAAAGGGATTATTAGATGTTACATGGAACTGACCAAGATAAAATGAGACAGAAATTCTTCTTGCACAGAACATACAAATTTAATAAGGGGGCAGAAGACACACACACACACACACACACACACACACACACACACACGCATGCACGCACACACCAGCTAAAGCAATGTTAAAAGCAATCAGTCCCCAGAGTAGCTCTGCCCATAAAAGCTATGGGTAGAGACCGGCACACATTCAAAAGAAAAAAGCAACCAGTGCTGGCGTCGATGTGGCGGAAAAGGGATGCTCTTTCATCGTTGATAGGAATGCCCACTGGTCCAGCCTTTCTGGGAAACAATAAGGACATTCACTCAAAAACTAGAAATTGAGCTTCCATATGATCCTACAATACCACTTCTGGGAATATATCCCAAGGGTGCAAAAAAGCACAGTAGAAATGACATCTGCACCTATATGTTCATTACAGTACTGTTCACAATAGCCAGAATCTGGAAACAACCCAAGTGCTCGAGAACAGATGACTGGTTAAGGAAACTTTGGTACATCTACACAATGGAATATTATGCAGCTGTTAGGAAAGATGAAGTCATGAAATTTGCTTATAAGTGGACAGTCATGGAGAATATCATGCTAAGTGAAATGAGTCAGAGGGAGAGGGACAGATATAGAAGGACTGCACTCATTTGTGAACTATAAAATAACAACATGAGACTGACACCCAAGGACAGTAGACACAAGGGCCAGGAAGATTGCTCCATAGTTGGAAGCCTGCCTGGGTGGGAGGGGCAGGGAAGGCAGCTGGGATACAGAAGGGATCACTAAGTCAGTGATGGTTGGAGGGATCATCTGGGATGGGAGATGTGTGCTGAAAGTAGATAAAGGACCAAACATGATAGCATCTCAGTATCTGTATTACAAACCATAATGCCCAAAAGTAGAGAGAGAGTATGGGAGATATTGTCAGCCATGGAGGCAGTGGGAGGATGGGAAAGGGGGGAGGTATACTGGGGATATTGGTGGTGGGGAATGTGCACTGGAGGAGGGATGCGTGTTTGATCATTGTGTGATTGTAACTCAAACATGAAAGCTTATAACTGTATCTCACGGTGATTCAGTAAAATTTTTTAAAAAATGAAAGCTATAGGTCTGGTGGGAATTGGGACGCCAGGACTATGGTGAAAAGTTTTGGGTACTTTGTTGGTAGTGGAGGAGCAATTAACTGTAAACTCAAAACACAAATATCACAATTAACTGTAAACCCAAAACACGAATATTCCATGTTCTCTCAACTACAATTTTCTAAAAGGCTATGGAAATTTAATTTGTTTGTGTGTTTGCGAAGGAAAATAACGTTATTGGAAAAAAATTACTTGGAGAAGTGTGAGGGGAGAGAAAGAGAGACATACATGTTCAAGAGAGAACTGGGCTTCTCCAGAGTGTGTATGTGTGTGTGTGTGTGAGTGTGTGTGTGTGTGTGTGTGTGTGTGTGTGCAGGGGGAGGGAGTAAATAATGGCTTTGGGGAGAAGGTTATATCCAATTTCTCCAAACTGTCCCAGCCTGGAGTTCTTTCTCTGCATACACAAAAGTCAATCCATGAAAAACCTTGGATTCTTGATGGTCCCTTCATATTCTCAGGAGAACCTTTTTAGCTTCTCCTAGGCTATGGGAGTTTGTTTGTTTTGTTTAATAATTTTTTTGAAATTTCATCATGAAATTACAAAGCCACTCAGGATTATGTTTCAGACATACAATTTTACAACACTGGTCCCTTCACCAGTGTCCACTTCCTCCACCAATGCATTTACCCCATTTGCCTACCACCAGTCTGCTTAATGAGAGGCTCAAATGATAGACAGACAGAGAGACAGACAGACAGATAGATATTGCACTGGGGTTTACAGTCCCGCTTCTGATAGGGTTTCACTTGACCACTTTTCAGCACCACCTCTTCTTCCCAGTTTAATGCTTCCCTCCACCAGAGATGTAGAATTCCTGAGAGAGGGAAGCTCTCCCAAAGGTCAGCCTTGATCGAGGGGAGATGTTGAGACTTGCAGATGGACAGAAAATCATTTTCTTGAAAGAAAGAAGTCTCAGGGCTGGGGCCAGAGCCATGGTACAGCAGGAAGGAGGGCATTTACCTTGCATTCCGCCTAAGCAGGTTCAATTCCCAGCGCCCCATGTGACCGCCTGAGCACCACCAGGAATAAGTAATTCCTAAGTGCAGAGCCAGGAGTAAATTCTGAGTTGGGTGTGGCCTCCGAACAACTCCCCCCGTCCCAAATAAACCACAGGGCAGCCCCTCACTGAGCCCAGCCCGGTGTGAGGCAGCAGGAAAGCAATGGTTCTCACATATCAGGCCTGAGAATCAGGGAAGACAAAAGGGGCAAAGGGTCACAGGGCAATGGGCATTGAGAGGCAGCCTGGCATCCACGCATGGACTCTGGAGCAATAGCCCGCAGATAGGGAGGGCCTGGGATTGTGACATGGTTCACTGGAAAGGAGACAGACAGTGGGGGACAGGGCATGTGACCCTGATCATTGGAGAGAGAGATCGGGGACGACAGCCAACAACGGAAGCAAACCTAACCTTAGTGAGATGAACATCCCAAGCACCTGGAGTTCTGTGTGCTAGTTTTCATGCAACACTCCAGGTGCCACACACTTGGTGGCTATGCTAGGGTCACGCCATCAGCACCACCTGGTCCCCTGAGACCCCCTCAGGGTTGCTGGGAGGAACCCGTGAGCATGGCTGAGGAGCTGGGTGCTGAACCTGCATCTCCACGTGTGCTCTGCACTTCCCCCCCATCCCTCCCCTTCCTCTCTTTGCCTGGACAATGGATTTAGAGGTTTGAGTAAGTGAGAGACAACCGAGACTTTGAGATCAGATTGGTGAGAAACAAACAAACGTGTTTTCATACTGGGTTAACAGGTGAGATGCCACTGAAGAGGAATAGGAATATTGGGACACGTTCACTGTACCTTTGCAAAATTGATCTCTTTTATAACGCAGAGCACGCTCTCTGCTTTCTGTTTGGCCAAGTAAGCTTTCCCAAAGGCACCTTCGCCAATGGCCTTAATCACATCGTATTTGTCCATGTTCTCCAAGGCTGGAAAGCTCCTGCAATTAAGAGTGATGGACATTTTATCACAGATTTAAACACTGGTCTCTAAAACATACACATATTTATTTTGCAAAGATTTTCCTTTTACATTTGTCAAGACAAGGGGCTGAGGACATACCTCAAGGGACTGGAGCACATGTTTTGGACCACAAGGGTCCCCAAGCACAGCCTGTGTTGCCCCCAAACAAACCATAATACAAAACATAACACTTGTCAAGACAAGTGGACGGGTCACAAGCCACAGCTACAGCAGCGTAGAGTTTCCTGGTGGTTCCCCAATGAAATCATGACAAACTATGGTTCGTTTACAGTTTATAGTTGTAGTGTGCTCTTGGGAAAACCACCTCACCTCACTAAAGCTCACTTTCCTAGCTTTTGTCTGTTTGTTTCTGTCTTGTTTTGGGGATTGGAGGCAAAATCAGGCATGTCAAGTGGCCACACCCTGGCTATGCTCTGAAGACCACATACAGACTAGCGGGTCTCACAGGGTCTGCCTCCCATTAGAGAAAGCCTAAACGCCTGGGGCATCTCTCCAGACTCCTCATTTAAAAAAATTTATATGGATCATTTTTATTTAAAGCATTTAATAAAACATCGTGATTTACAAAGTTGCTAAAAATGCAGTTGTTCCGGCTTTCCTCCCACCAATGTCCATTTTCCGCACCCCAACCTGACCCTTTAGCAGTAAATTACAAATTTACTTTATATTACTCGCTCCAACAGAACTTAAAGGAATGGCAAATGGAATTATCAGAAAATCAATACAAGTCAATTTCTAATGAATGATTGCTGTGTGATTCCAACCTATGTAAAAAAAAAATCAATCATTTAATTCAACAGAACATAATGCCCATTCTCATTTATACAAATAAGTTTTCAACTCTGGTATTTAAAATATTTTGCATTAAATTTGATTTTGCACTTCTCTCCTCGTTTTTAAATGGAGCTGACGCGCCTGTTTTTGCACTTTGAATGACAACACCCTACTCTCACCTGTGAAGCAGCGATAACCTTAACGCAGGTGGAGCGCGCTAGTTGTCTTTCTCAGCGGGGAAGTGCTGCCCCCTACTGGGCATTTTGGAACCGTGCGGAGTGTTTTGTTTTCCGTTTTCTTGCCAAAGGGATGCTCCGCGTAAGGACTTGAAACCTACGATGCTAGTAGTATCCCTCGAGCCCATCGCAGTTAAGTATCACTCCGTGGCCTCATCACCTTAGAAAATCTACCCACACGTCCTGCGCGTGGGGAAAAACCTGCTTATCATGAGCTGAGCTGAGGCTGGAACCAAACTCTGGGCGGGCTTTCCTGTATTGCTTTTTGCAATCTTTTTTTTTTTAATTGTTTTGTTTTGTTTTGTTCAGTCACACCCGGCAATGCTCAGGGGTTACTCCTGAGTAGAGAGTCGTGTATGGGATGCCAGGGATCGAACCCGGGGCGCCCGCGTTCAAACTGAATAACCTTACCGCCTGCACTACGGCTCCGGCCCCTGTTTCTTGCTATTTTAATTACCAGCGAATTTTCAAGGACGAGAATTCACAAGGCTCAGCCGCGTCTCGATTGCACCGGGAGTTTGCAGTTTGGGGGCAGTCACGCCCGGTGCTCCAGGGTTCCGCACGGCCCGCTCGGGCTCAGCCGCTCTCCCGAGTCCCGGGTGCAAGCACAAAGTCTGGGCTCCCGGGCGCGGCGTGCCCGTCCCCCTTTCCAACGCCGAGGGCACGGAGCCAGGCGTGCAGCGAGCCGGCGGGTCGCGCATCCCAGTGCCTGGTGACTGGCGGGGGGCGTGGGGAGACCCGCCAAGGCTCGGGCCCTAGGGCCGGGAAAGCAAGCCCCCAGGGCGGTTTGGAGGCAGAACTGGGGATCGGAATTCCAGGGCCCCCGACCGAGGGAGAATGTGCGGGCGTCGAGCCCGGCCAGGGCGGACGCGGCAGGCCGTGGGTGGGGGGACGGCGCGCGTGGCCTTGGAGACGGACGCGGCCCTGGACACCGACGCGGCCCTGGACGCGCTCCGCGCTCCGTCCGCCGTTCCTCCCGCGCGGGCTCGTGGCCTCCCCGGGCCCCCCCCCCCCCCGGCCTCCGCGCCCGCGCCCCCGAGACCCGAGGGCTGCAGCCTACCTGCTCCGAGGGGCCCCGCGTCCTGCCCGGGGCCCCGCACCTCTGGGCGGGGCGGGGCGGGGCGGGGAGGCGGGAGCACCTGTGGGTACCGTCCACCCTGCCCTGGGGGACCGCAAGTGCCGCCTCGACGTCACCTCGGGCCTCGGGGGTCGGGACTCCAGAGCCCACCGTGCCGGGCACAGAGTCCGGCTTTCCTACGGGCTCACCCGGCCCTCGGCACCCGTTTATTCTCTCCACTCGCTTGCAAGGAGCTGCGGAGAAGTCGACTCTCCCTCCCACCAGTGAGCTCGACCCAGCAGGAAGTGCCCCGGTCGCGGGCATCGTGGGTGAGTGGGGGATGGGACGGGGTCCCAGTCTCTGGGACACAGAGGGAGGCTTCCCGTGGGGTCGGTCCGCGCACCTGACTGCTGCCCGGTGGCCTGTAAGCGCGCTCCTCGCCCGCGTCCCGCTGCACTCCCGGTCCAGTTACTGTCTAAAACGTTTTGTTAGTTCACCTTGCATAAGGCCCACCCTGATTCGATGTCCTGCATCCATATATATGGTCCCGAGCATCCGCAAGAGTAATTTGAGTGTACAGCCAGGAGCAAGCATTGACAGGTGTCAATGGCAAACTGATAGGTGGCACCCCTCCCCCTACAAATCTCATTACATGTATGAGCAGTTGAAAACTAGGTAATTTCCAGCGATTACAAATAGACAATAAAGCATAACCACTGAGGGGCTGGAGCAATAGCACAGCGGGTAGGGCGTTTGCCTTGCACGCGACCGGCTAGGGTTCGATTCCCAGCATTTCTGAGTGCAGAGCCAGTAGTAACCCCTGTGCATTGCCAGGTGTGACCCAAAAAGCAAAAAAAAAAAAAAAGCGCATAACCAGTGAAATCTAAACAGAGCTACTTTTTTTTTTTTTTTGCTAGGAGGGGCCACATACCACAGTGATAGGGGCTCACTCCTGGCTTTACACTCAGGGATCACGCCTAGAGGGCTAGAAGGGACCATACGGGATGCCAGTGATGGAATCCAGATTGGTAAGGACCGTTACCCTTGTACTATTCTTCTGGCCTCTCTCTGTCTCTATCTCTCTGTGTCTGTCTGTCTCATTGTGTGTGTGTGTGTGCGCACGCGTGCGTATGCACACACACTAACTTTACTCACATATGTAAATACAAGTGACATTCTGTTAAAGGAGCTGGACAGCTGGCTCCAGAGTGCATCCTTTGCATGCAGGAGCTCTGGGTTTGACCCCTGGCATCACATCGTCCCCCAAGCACCTCCAGGAGTGACCCCTCCCCCAACCAAAAAAATTAAAAGAGCCCTTCAATTCTTGCCGGGTTTTATGTCAAAAACTGTACCATATCATCTCTCGCTAAAAATGGTTTCTCCAGACAAAATCAAACTAAAGCTAACCACTAGATTCAGACCACAGAACTAAGGTTGGGGGGAAAGGGGTGGGTGTCAAGAGAGGGAACCCAAGAGGAAGTGGGTGTGTGGTGAGAAATCCTGGAACTAAGGTGGTTGTTGTGGTGTGGTTACAAATACTTTGAAGAGGCAGGAAATTGTGTCCTAAAACACAGTTGTGTAAATAAATCTTTTGTCGTTGGGTCACACCCAGAAGTGCTTAGGGCTTACTCCTGACTTTTTCCTCAGAGATCACCTCTGGTGGGGCTCAGGGGACAGTGTGGATGGAACTTGGGTCGGCCATGTGCAAGGCAAGTTCCCTGCCCGTGTGCTATTTTTCCAGGCCTTTCAATGAACTAGTCTCACCTCACTCAAGTGTCGGAGTATGAAATGATAGGATCCCACACATGTGTGGATGGTGACTCAGAATGTCAGGCACCCTCCCCGAACCTCACCAGCTCTGCAACACCCTCTTCCTTTCATTGCCTTCTATACTGGTGCCTTGCCCATCATGATACATGACCAGTGGCTTCAGAAATGCTCCGGAGTCCCCTCCCCATCCCTCTGACCCTGACCCAACTCTTTTGTGTGGGTTGCATGTGAAGGGCTAGCAGTAAGGGGCAAGTGATAAAAATCACTGATCACCGCAAAGAGGGTCTTACTGAAAAATCGCACTCGTAATTGAACAGATTTCGATCAGCACACGTTTAGGAAATGTCTAAGAAGATACTTAGTAATAAACACAAATCCTAAGGCTCTTGGACTGCAGAGATGGCTTCTGATCTGCTTCTCTGTGAGGTCAGCATGACTGCTCTCATTTTCTTGGTGAGGAAATTCAGCTCAAAGATGTTAAAAGTTGCCACAATCACCCAGTTTTTGTTCTTGCTGGTGGGAAACAGACTCATTTTTCTGATTTTTCCTTTTCGGTTAAACTCACAGGAATTCTAGACTTTTTTTAACATCACGATACTAATCAAGAACAATTTTGAATATTTTGCATTCCCTCCTTTCATTCGGTTTTCAAAGGGAAACATCCATCCTATTAGCTAGTATACCCAATCATTATTTCTTCCTTTGAAACACGTATTCAGCACAACTAGGGAACATTTCCTCCACGTTATCCATCAGACATGTCTTGCCAGTTAGCTCGCTGCTTAAGTTCTGACACCCAGTCAGAGCTGTCGTCATCGTCTTCCTCAAAATCCCTGTGAAGAAACAATTTTGGACAGTAAGATTCCACACTTAATACATCTCAGGGCCACAGTATTTATTAACGGGCTAAATACTAATAGATTAATATTAGTATTTAGCCCATTAATAAATCTGCAAAAAACCCGAGTGCCCAAGAACAGATGGTGTGCAGAATGGGAGACTAAAACCCAAGAGTAGTAGAAATAAGTACCAGGAGGTCTGCTCCACGGCTTGGATCAAGAATAAATAAATACTCATTTATGATGGAGAGCAATTTAACCAGCAACTCTATTGGATTATTTCAATCACTAATACTAATAGATTACCTTCATAACAATATTTACTTATAAATTCCAAACTGCAATTTTAAAAACACATGGCCATGACTGGTTAAAGAAACTTTGGTACATACACAATGGAGTACTATGCAGCTATGAAATTTACATACAAGTGGTACTACATGGAAACTATCATGCTAAGCGAAATGAGTCAGAAAGAAAGGGATAGACATAGAAAGATTGCATTCATCTGGGGAACATAAAGTAACAAAATAGGAGACTAACACCCAAGAGTGGCCGAGATTAGTACCAGGAGTTTTGCTCCATGGCTTGGAGGCCAGCCACACATTCTAGGGGAAAAGGGAGCTCAGACAGAGAAGGGGAGCACCAAGTAAAGGGTGTTGGGAGGATCCTCCCAGGATGAGAGATACATGCTGAAAGTAGACTATAGACCGAACATGATTGCCACTCAATGCCTCTTTTGCAAACCACAGCATCCAAAAGAAGAGAGAGAACAAAAGGGAATGCCCTACCACAGAGGCAGGATGGGATGGGGGGTATAGGGGTGGGAGGGATACTGGGATCCGTGGTGGTGGGAAATGGGTACTGGTGGAGGGATGGGTACTCGATCATTGTATAATTGAAACCCAAGCACAAAAAATTGTAAGTCTACAACTGTACCTCACAGTGTTTGACTAATAAAAATTAAAAAAAAAATCACCACACCCAAAAGAACAAAAGCAACTAGTGTTGGCGTGGATGTGGGGAGAAAGGGACTCTCCTTCACTGATGGTGGGAATGCCAACTGGTTCAGCCCTTTTGGAAAACAGTATGGATGCTTCTCAAAAAATTAGAAATTGAGCTCCCATTTGACCCGGCAATACCACTCCTGGGAATATATCCTGGAGAGGCAAAAAAGTATAGTAGAAATGACATCTGCATTTGTATGTTCATTGCTGCACTGTTTACAATAGCCAAAATCTGGAAAAAACCCAAGTGCCCAAGAATAGATGACTGGTTAAAGAAACTTTGGTACATCTAAACAATGGAATACTATGCAGCTGTTAGAAAAGATGAAGTCATGAAATTTGCATATAAGTGGATCAACATGGAAAGCATATGCTGGGGGGAAAGGCAGCTCAGATAGAGAAGGGAACACCAAGTAAAGGATGATGGGAGGACCCGTTCAGGTTGAAAGATGTGTGCTGAAAGTAGACTATAGACTGAACATGATGGCCGCTCAATAACTCTATTGCAAACCACAACACCCAAAAGGAGAGAGCAAGCAAAAAGGAATGCCCTGCCACAGAGGCGGATCAGGGTGGTGGGGGATGGGGTGGGCGTGGTGGAAGGGATGCTGGGTCCATTGGTGGTGGAAAATGGGCCCTGGTGGAGGGATGGATACTCGACCATTGTATGACTGAAATGCAAGCACAAATGTTTGTAAGTCTGTAACTGTACCGCTTGGTGATTCACTAATAAAAAATAATAATAATTAAAAAAAAATAAAAAAAAGAACATATGGCCTGGTCAAAAATTCTATAACACATTATAACTGTTTACCCATCCTAGACAAAAGATCAAGAATAAATAAACACTCATTTATGATGGAGAGCAATTTAACCAGCAACTCTGCTGGATTATTTCAATCACCGACACACATCAGCACAAGTTTCCTAGGTAGAATCACAACATACGTGTCCTCATCATCCAGTCTAGGTTCAAGCCTCTCTGGATCCAAGGCGACAGAATCTTGATCTCCATCAACACTGTCCGATGCTTCCGTCTCTTCACACAGGGGCCCCTTCAAGAACCCTTCTGGACCTTCACAGGGGGATGAACAGAGGTCATGCCAACTTGACAGTATTTACTCATCTCACGCATATTAAATGAAAATTCTCCAAGTGCCTGCTGGCTAACTAAGGACAATGCCCTAGTCTACATTTCTTCTTTTTACCCCTCCATGTGAAAGCTAGCAGGATTTCTGTGAAACAGGTCCAGAAAGTAAAAGTAGGTGTATTAAATGTAGTGATTTCTTAAAAAAAAAATCAGAAAATTACCATTAAGACTCCTCCATAGAATGAAAAATGATTTATTAACAGTTCTCTTTGAAAAATTGGATTATAACTTTCCTTTAGGTTTTTTTTTGGGGGGGGGGGGTCGTTAAGGCTAGTGATGCTGAAGGGTTATTACTGGCTTGGTACTCAGGAATCACTCCTGGCGGTCTCAGGAGACCATACAGGATGCCTGGGATGGAACTCTGGGTCGGCCATGTACAAAGCAAATGCCCTATCTGCTGTACTATTAAATGAAATACACTGAAATATCTCCAGCCCCAGCTGACTTTATTTTTCCTTTGAGTTCATTCTCACCCTCAAGTTATCCCAATGGAGGGTAGTAAAACCAGGGAATCAAAGAAAGAAAAAAAAATCAAGATTCCCTTAAAACATATTTCCTAGATGATCATTACATTCAAATGTTTGTTACCTGACAAAAATGTGGACTAAATTTTACGTAGACATTTTTCTAAAAACAGAGTTAATGTCATAGATTCTTTATTTATTTATTTTTTTGGCCACCCCTTCCAGCAGCACTCAGGGATTACTCCTGGCAGTGCTTGGAAAACCGTACGTGATGCTGGGGATCAAACTCAGGTTGGTTGTGTGCAAGGCAAGTGCTTTATCCACTCTATCATTTCTCTAGCCTCTATGTCTTGCTTGAAAATACTGACTTTCTTAAAAAGAAAAATAGTGACTCCTGAAATAACAACCAAAGAAAACTGTCATTAGATTAGAAATCAAAAATTCAGAGTCAGTGATTCCCTCAGGCCTTCCTCCAACAGCCACCTCCCTGCCAAGCCTCTCGGCACTGGCTGGCAGAACAGGCTGAACACAGTTCTCAAACTCTCTACTGAGGGTTGGTCACCCAGACAATGAATTCCTGGAGGGAATAAAACAGGTTTCATTCTCTCTTTTTAAAAAGATTCTTAAACTAGCCTATGTAAGCATTCAGTAAATACCAAAAAAAAAACCACTATACCTTTTACAATAAATACAATCCTGACTTGGTCCCAAAATTTAAAAAAAAAGGTGGGGGGAGCTGGAATGATAGTACAGCAGGTAGGGCATTTGCCTTGCACACAGCTGACCCAGATTCGATTCCCAGCACCCCATATGGTACCCCAAGCACCACCAGGAGTAATTCCTGAGTGCGTGACCCAGGAGTAACCCCTGTGCATTGCCGGGTGTGACCCAAAAAGTATTGATATAAGACATATTAAAAAAATAAATCACAAAAAAGGTTATTTTCTACAATTTTAGCAATGATGTCTGTAAAATAAGAAATCCAATACTAATTGTTCATCTGTTTTAAGTAAGTAAAGTAAAGTAAAGGCCCTCCCGTTGATCGTCGATTTGCTCGAGCGGGCCCAGTAACGTCTCCATTGGAGACTTTGTTGTTACTGTGTCTGGCATATCGAATACTCTCGGTAGCTTGCTGGGCTCTCCGAGAGGGGCGGAGGAATCGAACTCGGGTCGGCCATGTTGGCTGCGTGCAAGGCAGACGCCCTACCCACTGTGCTATCGCTCCAGTCAATATAAAAGACTTATATGGGGCTGGAGCAATAGTACAGCAGGTAGGGCATTTGCCTTGCATGCGGTAGACCCGGGTTCAACCCCTGGCATCCCATATGGTCCCCCAAGCACTGCCAAGAGTAATTCCTGAGTGCAGAGCCAGGAATAACCCCTGAGCATCACTGGGTGTGTGTATATGTACATATATATATTATATATATATATATATATATATATATATATATGACTTCAAGCATACAGAGAAAGGAATCTTCACATCCATCCTGGTTAACTCTGTAAAGTCACTGGACAGTGGAATGCTTCCCTGCCAAGAAACTAGTCATGTGATCATAAGCCAATGGAAGAAATGTACCTCTAAGGGACATTTAATTATCATTGAGGCTGGCTAAAAAAGATTCAAGAAAACCTAAAAATGCAATACTGTAAAAATCATTCTATAATTTTAAAATCAAGGAACAGAGGTTCCATTTTGGATAAGGGGAAAAATCCCTGGAGGTGGACAAGAGATGAGGCTACACCACTAACGAGTGTCTTCACTGGCTTTAAATTATGTGTTCAAAGTTCTGAGGGGCCAGGGGATAGCCCAGTGGACTGTGAGCTTGCCTTCAGCCAAGCTGACCTGAGCTTGATTCCCTGCACCAAAGCCAAACACAGAAAGAAAAAAAAATTTTTTTTAATTCAAGCTGAAAGGTTAACTTTGATGTTATGCACATTGTATCACTTTTTTTCCCCCAAATAAATAAAAGGGTTTCCAAAGTTGGGTAAGAGAAATAAATCACCTGGTCTGTAGATTGTGTACGTCTGAAACGCCAAGCTGAGATCAGCATTCTTAAGGATATTTAACACGCTTTCAGGAGTCTCTTTGAGCCACTGCTTACGGGTGTTATTTTCACTGTACTTTATCACAGAGCCACCTAGTTGTGAAAAGAAAAAACTCAGAGCGCCACAGGGGATAGAGAGATAGTACAGCAGGTAGGGTGCTGGCCTTGTACATGACCAACCCACGTTCAAGCCCCGGCACCACACCTGGTCCCCTGAGTTCCACCAGGAATGATCCCTGAGCACAAAGCCAGGAATAAGCCCTGAGCACTGTCAGGTGTCGCGCCCTCCCCACAACCCCCCGAAAAAATATCTGAGTTAAGCAAAGACATTCACATCTTTCTTTGTAGGATATGTGTGTGCCAGCATTGCATGCCGCCAGGAGTAAAGCCTGGGCATTGCAAGGAATGACCCAAAAACCAAAACCAAACCAAACACCAAAAATCAATGCCTGTAGCCCATTTTACAACTAAAATGGTCCCCTATAAATTACAGGGCTTGAGCACTGACCTCCCTCATCGCCTGTCTTCACGCTGGAGGTGAGTACCGACGCGTTCTCCAAAGCCGTCAGAGTGCTGTTGGAGGCGTCTTTCCCCCACTGTCTCCTGAGAGGATTTGGGGAGCTGGTTTCCACTGGAGGGACTGAATTCTTACCTGATTTTGCAATGTAGAAAAGAATGGTTAAGCTTATTCCTGTATTTCTTCATCTATGGCCACACATACCCTTTAACAAGATACTTCTGTTCTCTTTCTAAATGAGATCTCACACCTATGTTCTTTCGAGTCCACGTAGTCAAGGAAATTTTCTAACATCCAAATGAAAATAAAAATCACTGAAAAAGGAGAGTTACTAAATATAATGCATATAATTAACACACAAGGCACAAGACGGAAACATCAAGAAGATTTATATGCAGAGTGCATGCCTTGTTATTACAGTGTAGAACATAACAAATACTACCTTGCCTAAAGGTTTTTATTAATAAATAGTATTTTTTCTCTACTTTGGGGGGACCTAGGCCACACCTGGAGGTGCTCGGGGCTTGCTCCTGGCTCTAAGCTCAGGGGTTGTTACTCCTGGCAGTATGCATGCCCAGGATTTAACCATGGTTGACCAAATGCTAGGCAAGCATTCCTGTACTAACTGTCTGGTCCTATTCTCTCTGTTTTTATGGGTAAGTTAGACATTTCTGTAATACGAAATAAACTATTAAAAATCTGCATGTCCACTCCCTTAGGGCACTTAAGACCTAGTAACTTGCAGGACAGGAAGAGAGTTCAGGGGACCAAAGCACATGTTTGGCATTCAGTATCCCAGGGTTCAGTCCCTGGCACTGAATCATTCCCAAAGCTCTGATGAACTTTGGGTATGACCCCAAAACAACCAATCAAACAAAAGACCTGACCTAGAGGACACAGGGAAAAAATCCACTAAAGTGAAAGTAAGCATTTCTTCTATATCCCCGACTTCCCTGTTACACAATTATGAGTATTTGAATAACTCACCTTTCTCTTCCCTGTTTCTTCTCTGCAATGCTCTTTCAACCAAATTTTTATTGATGTTTTCTAGATCAGTGTGGCTAGACTTTCTCTCTTCTTCTCCCTGCTTAAAAAGCAAATAATATAAGTATAGGTTAAGTGATGTTGGCATTGCCATAAGAAAAGGGAAGAAAGCAAGGAAAGTCAGTTATTGTATTTTAGGTAAAGATTAGCAGTTCACTGTAGCACTGGCCTCCCGTTGTTCATCTATTTGCTCGAGTGGGCCCAGTAACGTCTCCATCGTGAGACTTGTTGTTACTGTGTTTGGCATATCGAATACGTCATGGGGAGCCTGCCAGGCTTTGCCGATACTAACAGAAGTATCTTGTTAAGCTACTCTACCGAGAGTAGCTTGCCGGGCTCTCTGAGAGGGGCAGAGGAATCGAACCCAGTCGGCTGGGCTGGCCGCATGCAAGGCAAATGCCCTACCTCTGTGCTATCGCTCCAGCCCAAATAAAGATTAGTAAATCAAAAATAACAATGACCACATACACACGTGTATACGAATGTGCAGATTAAAAGCCATATATAAGGGAGTAGAGGGATAGTTCACCAGGTAGGGCGCTTGCCTTGCAGGTGGCCAACCCAGGTTTGACCCTCAGCTCTGCACAGGGTCCCTGAAGTCATGCCAAGGAGTGATCCTTGAGCACCAAGTCAGGTGTAAACCCTGAGCACTGCTGGGTGGTGGTTCACCCTCCTAATCCCAAATATTAGTTTATCCATGAAAAGGAGAAGATTCTGACACAGACTGTAGCATAGACATAGAATGAAAACACTACGCTAAGCAAAAGGAGTCACAGACGAAAGGACTATAGGACAGTTCCCCTGATATGCTGCACAGAGAATAGGCAGTCCAGAGAGAGCACACGGAATCTCTGGGGGTCTCCCCTGGGGCTGGCGGGGAGGGGGGGCGGAGCTGGGAGAGGGGAGGGCTGGGCAGTTACTGTTCATGAATTCAACAGTCTATTTTAGGAAATTAGGCTGAATTTCTGTTTGGGGTAATAAAACTGAGCAGTGACGTTACACAACATTGTGAATGTAACTGAGATTTTAAACAATTTTACACTTACAATCTCCTAAATGGTGAAGTTGAAGATATCTATTTCGTTTTTGTTTAGGACCACACCCAGCTGTGCTCAGGGCTTACTCCTGGCTCCGTGCTCAGGGATCACTCCTGGCAGAGCTCAGGGGACCATATGAGATGCCAGGGATTGAACCTGGATCAGCTATATGTGAGGCAAACATCCTACCTGCTGTTCTGTGGATACATCCATGATCGCTATCTATTTACCTTACTAAAAACAAACCAACCGGAAGCCAGGCTAAAACAATACCCTCATGAGCTCAGATAGAGAAGGGAGCACCAAATAAAGGGTGTTGGGAGGATCCTCCCAGGATGGGAGAAGCATGCTGAAAGTAGACTCTAGACCAAACATGATTGTCACCCATTGCCTCTTTTGCAAACCACAGCATCCAAAAGAAGAGAGAGAACAAAAGGGAATGCCCTGCCACAGAGGCAGGGTGGAATGGGGGGGGTGGGGGGTGGGAGGGATACTGGGATCCGTGGTGGTGGAAAATGGGCACTGGTGGAGGGATGGGTATTTGATCATTGTATAACTGAAACCCAAGCACAAAATTTGTAAGTCTACAACTGTACCTCATGGTGTCTCACTAATAAAAATAAAAAATAATTTAAAAAAAAAAACAATACCCTCATGACTGACAACAGGGCAAAGTTCTGTCACATCTCCATTAACACCACCCGTCATCAAGACTTAAAAATGAAAATGCCAACAACACAAACAGTGCCTTAAAGTGGCAGTGCAAAATGATGGCTGCCAATCACAGCACATGCCGAAGAGCAGACTCCAAATGCCCCAAGGGGCCAGCCAGGTCTCGGACTTCATTTATGCAACTGGAAGTACTTACCGGCAGGTTCACCTCCTCTTCTTCCATGGGTCGCCTGAGTCGGTTAGGGCCTGCTTCAAGGGAAAAGGAAAGGAAGAAGACACATCACACAGGGCAGGCATCATGAAACCATCTCCAAAACACTGGGAGACGGGGCCTGAGTGATAGTACAGCGGGTAGGGCATTTGCCTTGCACCTGGCCGACCCAGGTTCGATCCCATAGGCCCCCTGTGCAGCGCCAGGAGTCACCCCTGAGCAAAACACCGGAGAGAAGGAGCCTGAGGTCAAAGAGCCAAAGGTAGAGTGGAGGTGGGGGGCTGGCCCCCAGGGGCCCTGTCTGCTGTCCCGTTCCTGCTGTTTTGCAGCTCTCTGAGTGAGGCCACTCCAGGGGCTGCCTCAAGGGTGATTGCCCCCCCTCCAGCACAAGCCCACCTAGGGCGCTTCCACCATCCAACATTCATGGCAGCGGGAAACAAGCATCCCTTATCTCCCTAGCGGGAGGGGAAGTGAGCAGTTGGGGGTAACTGGAGACCCTGCGACTGGGTGGGGGACTTCTGCATGATTCACCTCCAGCAAAGCCCTGCCATGGGTGTCCCACACCCATGCTAATGTGGAGAATATCATGTTGCGTGAAATCAGCCAGAGGGGGAGGAACAGACACCAAGTGATCTCTCTCATGTGGGATATGAGGGGCATACCAAATGCCCAGTGGCAATAGAAACGAAGAGCAGGACAACTGGTCTCCAGTAGAAAGCCTGGCACTGGGGCAAGGGTGAGGGGGATGAGCTGGGGAAGAGAACACTAAGATGATAGACAGAGGAGGGTAAATGTGCCTGCCTCACGGGCTGGTGCGGGGAAGGGAAATTGGGGGCCTTGGTGGACGGGACGGTATGAGCACTGGGGAAGGGACTGGTGTTGGAACAACACACATCTGAAACTCGATCATAAATACCTTTGTAGCTTTGTAATTCACAGCTCTTTAATTAAAAAAAAATTTTAATGCACTTTTGAGGGCCAGAGAGATTGCACAGCGGGTAGGGCCTTTGCCTTGCATGTGGCCGTTCCAGGTTCGATCCCCACCGTTACAGATGGTCCTCTAATTCCTGAGCACCGAGTCAGGTGTAATCCCCGGGCAGTGCCAGACGTGGCCCCAAACCAACCAAATGAACAAACAACAAACACCTGCTCATGGCAAACCAGAGATAGCTCAGCAGTCAAGGACCCTGTCTTGCACGTGATCAGCTTCATTTGGTCCCCAGCACCAGGTGCATTCTCATATACCGCCAGGAGTTATCCCTGAGCACCGAGCCCTGAGCACCGCTGAGTGCCCCTATACATAAATAAAATAAATAAGTTAACTAAGTCGTTAAAGCCCTGTTCTTGGATCGGGGGACAAGGCTTAAAAATCTGAGCACATGCTTCCCATGTGGGAGCCCCAAGTTTGATCCCTAGCACCCACAGTTCCCTAAACACTGCCAGGCACACCCTCTTCCCCCCACTTCACCCCAGCACCACACAGGAGCAGCTCGAGAGCACTGCTGGGAGGGTCCCAAAAAAACAAAAACCAAAAAGGAAGAAAGTGTCACAATCTCTGAAAGCATGTGGACACATGGGGTGGGGGCACAAACCAGACAGTCCCTGCCTTCAAGGGCTGATCTGTGCTTTCACTGTCACAGCCGGTTGGGGTCTGGGGACGCCCCACACATTGGGCCCCGACACGCCACACAACTCTCCTCCTCTCCTCGGAAATCGCTGCCCCATCACCAGGACAACTGAAGGAAGCCCTGAGACCTGTCCAGCCCTTACTTCCCATTCTCTTCTCCCCATGTTGGCTCCTTTCCTTCTCTGTGGTCCTCTCTGAACACTGGGGGCAAGAGTGTTGTTGCCCATATTTTTAAAGCTAATTTCCCAGCGGTCATTGAAGCCCTAGCCAATCAGGGCATTCAAGCCCAATACATCAGGATCCTCCGTGAGCTGTATTGCGGATTCACTACCAGGATCTCACCATTCTACAAAGAAGTGATCATTGATGTCAAGAGAGGGGTGCGGCAGGGTGATACCATTTCACCGAAACTCTTCAGTGCCACCCTCAAGAACATCATGCGACGACTGGAATGGGAAGGAATGGGAGTGAAGATAGATGGTCGGCAACTACACCACCTCCCTTTGCTGATGACATTGTTTTAATAACACCAAACATCAGCCAAGCGGCACAAATGCTGGCCGACTTTGACCGTGAGTGTGGAAAGGTAGGACTACAGCTGAATCTTACGAAGACAATGTTTATGAGAAACAGCCTTGTTCCTGACACCCCATTCGCTCTCAATGGAACGACCATCTCTGAATGCAACAGCTATGTGTACCTAGGTCGAGAGGTCAACATGACAAATGACCTGGCACCCAAGCTGTGCAGGAGGAAGAGAGCGGCTTGTAATGCCTTCAAGAACGTCGAAGAAATAGCTAAGAGGACGAAGAACCTCCGGCTCCGGGCACATCTCTTTGATTCCACTGTTCTTCCTGCATTAACATATGCCTCAGAGACCTGGGCCCTACGCAAACAAGATGAGAACGCTATTCAGGTCTCCCAAAGAAGAATAGAAAGAGCTATGCCTGGAATATCACGTTTCACTCAAATGAGAGAAAGAATTCGGAGTTCTGACATCCGTGGACGATCAAGGATCAGGGACGCTGTCTCATTTGCCAAGGTGTCGAAAATCAGATGGGCTGGTCACGTAATGAGATTTAAAGACGACCGTTGGACTAGAGCTGTTACTGATTGGATTCCACGGGATGTCAAAAGACCGCGTGGCCGCCCACCTACCAGATGGTCAGACCTCTTTGTCAAGATCATGAACAATCGGTTTGAGGCCCTTCATGTTCCCGGAGCGAACAGATGCCATTGGGCTACACTAGCACGCGACAGGGACAAATGGAGACGTTACTGGCGCCCGCTCAAGCAAATCGACGACTAATGGGAAGTTAAGGGATTAAGTGATTAATTTCCCAGTCACCTAGCATGTCATCGAAGGTTAAAACAAAATTTAAAGGGGCTGGAGCGATAGCACAGCGGGTAGGGCGTTGCACGCGGCCGACCTGGGTTCAATTCCCAGCATCCCATATGGTCCCCTGAGCACTGCCAGGCATAATTCCTGAGTGCAGAGCCAGGAGTAACCCCTGTGCATCGCCAGGTGTGACCCAAAAAGCAAAAAAAAAAAAAAAATTAAAGTACAATGCACACTGCTTACCTAAAGTACAGTGAATTGAAGGCTGCAGTTTATACCAAGAGAAGGGTTCTTGCGAAATTAACATGAAAATGTAATTTAAGAAAAACAGTGGAATGTTAGGGAGAGGACCCAAGGGGCTGAGTGCATGAGGGAGCCCTGAGTTTGACACCCTATACCACATGGTTCCCAGCACACTGCCAGGCAATCCCTGACCAGCAAGCTGAATGACCCCCCTTCCCCCAAGCACCCTGGGGTGTGGCCCGAAAGCCTACCAACAATAACCGAAAGGAAACAGTACACTGCAACTTTCAAACTGTCTCTTTTGTAGTATGCTGAAGATCAGGAGCACTAAACAAGAGGCAGTGAGCAACAGGTCAGTGAGTGATCTGCAGGCTTAAAGTTTTGGTGTTTTGGGGGTGTGGTGCCGCCAGCAGGTCTATCTGTACCTGTGAGGCGAGTGCATCAGCAGCCTCATGGTGCCTTCAGACTTCCAGATACCCCAAAATTGCTGCTGTGCCTTTGGCCAGACCCCCAAAAACTTGGGACAAAGTTTACCAAGAAAGTAAACGGCCAAAAGTTAGGTATGTGGAAAACACACCCACAAACCACCTCCGGCTCAGCTATATACTTGGAGGCATGGCCTCTCTGGTTCCTGACTGAACTGCTTAACGGCCATGATCCCAGAGACTCAGAAACAAATCTTGAAACCCAACGGTTTTTGGCAGAAATGCGTCTGGTCTCTGCAGTAGGTCACCAGTGCTGGGCCAACCCAGGTGGGAATAGGTTTTGTACCTTGGCCTGTTCCCCCTGGCGGCCCAGTGACCACCATCCTTCAGAGGCCACTGGACAGTCAGGTTTGGGTCCCCAGTGATGAGACATGCAGGGCCTCACGGGATGGGGGTGGAGCTGGTCCTGTCCTCCCCACCGAGTGAGACCCCAAGTCATCGCCCACAAACGGCCTCTCTGGCCCCCGATCAAGCTGCTTAACGGCCATCATCCCAGAGACTCAGAAACAAATCTCAAAACCCAGAAGCTTTGCACAGAAATGCGTCCAGACCCCACAGTACGTTACTGTCACCGGGTCACCCCACGGGGGAAAGGGTGTTGTCCCTCCGCCTGCTTCTCCCTGGCGGCTCAGTGGCCGTCATCCTCCAGAGGCCATTAGACAGTCAGGCTTGGGCCTGCAGCGACGAAACTCGTTGGGCTTCACAGGCTGGGGGTGGAGCCAGGCCTGTCCTCCCCACCCCAACGAGACCCCAAGTCATCGCCCACGAATGGCCTCTCTGGCTCCTGACCAAGCTGCTCAACGGCCATGATCCCAGAGACTCAGCAGCAAATCTCGAAACCCAGTGGCTTTTGGCAGAAAACCCTCCAGATTTAAGTGTTAAAATTTCGGAATTTCAAAATCACATGGCCCTACTGCAGCCACGCAACATCATATGTTATTCATAACCAGCAATAGAACACAAATTGTCTACTGTTGCCTTTTCAGCAGATCTGAGTGTTGGGGTAAAATCCCAAATAATAATGGTGGGTCTGGTGTCAAAATATTGAATGTGCCCAAAGTAGAGAGAGAGTAATGTGGAAATCATCTGCCCCACAGGTAGGGGGAGGGTGTGGGATGGAGGTATAATGGGGTTTTTGGTGGTGGAGAATGGGCACTGGTGAAGGTACGGGTGTTTCATTGTATGACCAAGAATTAGACCCAAAAACTTTGTAACTGCTCTCATGGTGATTCAATAAATAAAATTATAAAAAATGAAAAAAAAATAAGGTGGAATTCATGCACAATTCAATCAGCTAATCAGTGGCTGAATAAATAGCAGTACTCCTACATTAAGGGGAAAAAAAAAAGTTTTGGTGTTTTAAGTGTTTGAGTCATACCTGGCAATGCTCAGGGATTATTCCTGGCTCTGTGTCACGAATTACTCCTGGTGGTGCTCTCGGGACCATATGGGCTACCTGACCATATGAAACCTTGGCAGACCATGTGCCAGACAAGTGCCCTGTCTACTGTACTACTGCTTCTGCTCCTTTTATTCTTTTCTTTAATGGGGGAAGGTGGTAGGGCTGTTGAGTCACACTCAGTAGTGCTGGGCAAAGGCTGCTTGCAGACTGGGGTCAGCTCCGACAAGGCAAGTCCCTTAACCTCTGAGCTATCTCCCTGGCCCCACTTCCTTCTCATTCTGTTCGTCCCACTTATCTTTGTTCAATCTCTTGTAGAAGACCTTGATGTCAAATAGGAAGAGACAAAAGTCACTTTGGAAGAAACTGAGAGGTCACAACTTCCAAAGACACTCTATTTGTATTTGAAATGTGCTCAGGAGAGACTACTGGTACACAGAAAATGTTTGTTTGCTTGTTTCTGTTTTAGGGCCCCCCCCCCCGGTGGTGCTCAGGGGAATGTGTGGTACCCAGGACAGAACCTCACCCCCCTGCCCCCACCATGCAAAGGATGTGAACTGGTCTCTCTCACCAGGCCCAGGCACAAGGAAATTTTGTGCAGCTATTATGTGAACAGTTCTCAACTTTGGGAAACGCTATTTTGTTTTGTTTTGTTTTTTTCTGTTTGCCTTTTGGGGGTCTGAGGGTCTCCAAGTGGTGTTCCAGATCCCTGGGACCCCATCCAGTGATTTATGGTCAACTGGGCTGAATTCATTCAGTGTTAGTTAAGGGCTGAAGATGTGGTGCTATTCAGACAAACTGATGCTGAGAACTTCTGTGATGATCCAGCAGTGTTTGAGGGTCTCCAGGCCACACCCAGTGATGCTAGGCCTCTAGCACTGTGCCCAGTAACACCAGAGGGATGACGCGGTTATCAGGGATCAAACTGGGGCTGGCTGCATGCAAAGCCAGTAGCTTGAACTCCAGTACAATCTCTCCAGCCCCAAAGGCGGATTGTAAAAGCTTGTGTACAAGATGATTCTCTGAGAACCTTACAGGTAACAGTTTCCTGTGAGATTAATATTTTGCTTTCATGGTAGATTCCTAGGCATCCCGGGAAATGACCTAATCCAGGACTTACCAGAATAAATGTGATGCTAATGAGACACAGAACAAGTTTTATATCCACAAAGTTGTCAAACTAGAATTTTCTTTTTATCTCTGGCAAACTAAAGCTTGAATTAGCACAATACAGAATTATATCTAAAGTTAAAAAATGTTGTGATCAGTATATCTGAAAATTATATATAATAACTTGAAATATATTTTTTCCCTTTTTTGTTATACTGCATTGTTTAAAAATCAGCAAAAAAAAGTCTCCCCCAAATTCTTACCTTTTTTATTTGGTGTACTATGCTTGGATTTTTTCGTTTCTTCTAATATCTGCTCACCATATTCTGTGATTATCTGTAAGTTTAATTAGATAATTTCAAGAACATACTTTAGACATTCTCATAATGTTTTATCAACATTCTCCCATATAATAATACTTAGAGTTTAAAGATAAGAATAACAATTAAAAATACATAGAACTAAAAATATACATAGAACTTAGACCAGAGATATATTTATATACAATTTATATACATATTTGTGTAGACATATATGTATACACACATATACATATATATAAAACCCTGGAGTGATATGCAACCTCATTTGTGATTTATTTGGGGACAGACAGAACTGTACAAGAGAGAAGAGGATAGAAAGGAAGGTTTTTTTGTTTATTTTTTGATATTTTATGGATTATGAATATGAAATAACTTTCCGACATAAGGAGTAACTTTCAATAAATTCACTCCTTAAGACCTTAAAGCTCTCTCATGCAAGAAGGTAAGGTAAAGGCCCTCCCATTGTTCATCGATTTGCTCGAGCGGGCCCAGTAATGTCTCCATTGGAGACTTTGTTGTTACTGTGTCTGGCATATCGAATATGTCACGGGGAGCTTGCCAGGCTCTGCCGTGCGGGTGAGATACTCTCAGTAGCTTGCCAGGCTCTCCGAGAGGGGCGAAGGAATCGAACTCAGGTTGGCCATGTTGGCTGTGTGTAAGGCAAATGCCCTACCGCTGTGCTTAGGTAAAATAGTCTACGCAAAGGGTGACCATATGGAAATAGACTAAACTGACACACACATAAAAGTGTGTTGCTACACATATTTTCATATACTTTAAGACTCTTATCTATTCCTTCTTATAATACATCTGCACTGGTTTAATTTTTTGCAAGCATGCATACCGTGCAACTCATGTGTTTAAGAGATAACTATTGTACCAGACACCTTCCTGCGATGAACCCAACATGCCGCATACCTCGGGCGGCAGACACTTCCGGATGAGCCGAGCCAGCATTCCTCTAGCGAGCAGGGTGGTGGTGGAAGGGCGATGTGAGGGGTTCTTCTTAAACATCTGTGTGAGCAGCTGCTGCAGCTCAGAGGAATAGTGGGACGGCAACGGACGGATGGACCCCTGACAGATTCTGAGGATAAGACTTTTCCAACTATTTGCCTGAAACTGCAAAGATAAGTTGATCATGAAAAGCTGATACCGGGCATTGGAGAAAGAGTCTAACAGGCTGAGCGCATGTTTTAATGCAGGAGGTCTGGGTTCAATCCTCGGTACCATAAGGTCCACCATCAGGTGCGCCCCAGAACACCAAGCTGGGAGAAGCCCCTGAGAACTGCCAGGTCCAGTCTCCAAACAGAAATAAAAGTAAAATTTTAAAATTAAAAAAAAAATGGTTTCATGGCTCCAGAAGCACAAGGACTTAATGCAGAGCCCGGCAGCTTGCAGCAGAAAAGTGAATGGACTATGTGTTAATCCACGCCACCATGCCTGCCCGGAGGGGAAAGGGTGTTGATCCCTTCTGCCTTTTTCCCTTTGGAAAGAAAGGTGGCCGCCACCTTGGAGCTTTATGGAAAGCCAGGTATGAGCCGGTCGTGATGGGGCGACTGAAACCTCATGGGAAGGGGGGACATTCCCGGCTCATCCTTCACACCCTACCGAGGTCAGGAGTTGCCCCCCACGAGTGGCCCTCTGGCACGGCCATGGCTCCAGAGCACAGAAACCAATCTCATAATTATCTGACTCTCAGCAGAAATACTTCCAGGCTTAATAAGTAAAATACCAGAAATCCAAAGTCGCGTGGCCGTAATAGTGGCGCAACATCATTTGATTCTTGTGACCAGCTGTAGAAAACAAATTATTTCACAATGCCATTTCAGCATGTCTGATTTGGGGGTGTAAACTCTAAATAATAATGGTGCATCTTTTGTCAAAACAATGAATCTAATCAAAGTAGATAGAGTGTTAACTAGAATTCATCTGCCTCACAGGCACTGGGAAGGTTTGGAGGGGTGGGTATTTATTGGGGTTCTTCATGGTGAAAAATAAGTATTGGTAAAGGGAAATGTGTTTGATATTTGCATGACTGAGACTTAAACCTGAAAGCTTTGTAACTTTTCCCACAGTGATTCAATAAACAAATAAATAAATACATTTTTTAAAAAATGGTTTCATTTAGGGGCTCAGGAAGGAGTGCAGCAGGTAGGGTGTTGACCTTGCAAGTGCAAGTCCCAGGCTCGATTGCTGGTCTGGCACAAGATGCTTTGTGCCTCACCAGGGATGATCCCTGGCCACAGAGCCAGGAGTAAGCCCTGAGAACCATGAAGGTGGCACCAACACAAATCACAATGGATTTCAAAACATTAGATCTAAGGAAAGAACATGAAACTTAAAAAATACCAACTGAAGAGTCAAGAGAGATAGGACAGCAGGTAGGGTGGTTGCTTTGCATGGAGCCATACCCAGTTCGATCCCCAGCACCCTATATGGCTCCTGAACACCACCAGGAGTGACCTGTGAGCTCAGAGGCAGGAATGACCCCTGCCCACCATGGGGATGCCCCCCCCCCAAAGAGAGAGAGGGAGAGAAACTCAATTGAACAAAATTCATTAATTATTTTAATTTTATTTATTTAATTTTTTTTCCTTTTTGGGTCACACCCAGCGATGCACGGGGATTACTCCTGGCTTTGCACTCAGGAATTACTCCTGGCGGTGCTCAGGGGACCATATGGGATGCTGGAAATTGAACCCAGGTTGGCCACATGCAAGGCAAATGCCCTACCCGCTGTACTATTGCTCCAGCCCCTATTTTAATTTTTAAAATGTATCTGCAGCCTGGTTGTTTGTCTTTGTAGAGGTATCCTTCAGCTACTACACTAAAATGATAGTTCAGGAGAAAACGAACGTAAATAGTAAAATAATTTCTCATTCACTGATGCCTGCTTTAGGGACTTTTAATCATCATTGGTGTTTTTTCCAAGTATACATGTATTTTAGTACATTTTAAAAATCACAGGCATATATAAACAGTCAAATTACATTAAAGAGGTTTGTAATATTTATATCTTTGTAACATTCTTTTGCTTCACCTATTCTGACATTCTCTGGCCTGTTCCCTGTCAATCACATTTTAGACTTTTCCAGTTTCAAACTTCTATTGCCTGGGACCAGAAAGACAGTACAGAGGGAAAGCAGGACTCTGTCCAAACCCCGCATCACATGGACTCCTGAGCATCACAGAGTAGCCTTGGACTCTGGTGGGCCCTGGGGTGTGTCTCTAGTGGTCCCTACTGCCCAGTCCGCAGGGCCTACACAGCACCACATCCTCAATCCTCACATAGTACTAGTCTGCCGGGTATGGTCCCCAGGCCTCCTGAGCACCAACTGGGAGGACAAAAAGGAATAGACTTTTATCGCTATCATGGAGTCCTTTCCCCCACAAAATAGCTATTAAAATCTGACCAGCTACAGAGTGGGGGACAACTGACTTACTGGGAGCTGTGTCACTTACTGTGACTGAAATGGCAGAGCATAGACCTTGCCTCTCCAAAACCCTTGTCTGATCCCTAGCGCTGCGTGGGCCCCACAATGCCATGGCTGTGTGATGATCAATAAGTACCACCGAGACTAGCTCCACACTTTTTTTTTAAAATGACACAGCATAGCAACACCAAAAATAGATACTCCCTGTATAATAAATATACTGGAACATTAGTTATCAACCCTGGGGTGAGTTAGAAAAGAATGTGTGTGGGGCCAGAGCGACAGCACAGCAAGAAGCGCATTTACCTTGCATGCAGCCGACCCAGGTTCAATCCCCATCATACCAGATGGTCCTCTGAGCATCACCAGGAGTTCTCCCTGAGCTCAGACCCAGGAATAAGCCTGGAGCACCCCAGGTGTGACCCAAAAAAGATAACAGTAATATGCCCGCAAAATTATTGCCTGTAAATAACGTGCCTGAGTGAAGATATGAAAAGGTTAGAGTCAACATAGTTTTCCAAAGATCAGGTAATAAGGAAAGAACATTGAAACTGCTCTGCCTCGGGTTTCTTTGTGTAGGCCATGGAAGGGGCACAGCCTGAGGTGTGACACTACCTGGTGCCGGGGACAGAAGGGGCTCTTGCACCCACAGGTGCAACAGGTGCTCCAGCCCATTCGGCCAGTTCCAGGGGCCTGCCTTGGACTTTCTAACCATCCCACCAAGGTTCTGCATTTCCTGAACATCTGAGAACTATTTTGCCTTTAAAACAGACAAGACGTGGGGGTCAAGAGACTAGGTCAAAGAGGAAGTTCAACAAGCTGAGCTGGCAGGTCCAGGAAGTATCGCCAAGTGTGACCCCCAAAAATCATGGTGTCTCACTAGTAAAAATTAAAAAATTAAAGAAAAAAATAAAATTAAATTAACATCTGCTACTTCCCACCAAAAAAAGAAAAAAAAACCTGCTTGAGAGGACAACTATTAGGAAAAAGTATTTTCTTATGAATTCTGGTATAGAAGTCGGCGTAAGTTAAATTTAACTACAAAAAAATAAGTTTGAAAATGGTGTACATTGGAAAACAGTTGGTGGTTCTTCAAAAAGCAAAGCATACAATTACCATGCGACTTAACATCACCACTTCCCCAACATTCAAAATGGGAATTCTAACAGATCCTTGTATCTCCAAGAGCCAAAGGTGGACAATTCAAATGTCCACCCACAGATGTAGGAATAAACAAAGCATCATAAGAACATATCAAAGACTATCATGTCATAAAACGGAAATTCTGACATGTTACAACACACATATATACTCTGCAAATTTGCTACATAAAATGTCACACACATAAAAGCACGAAGTTTCACTTACACAAATATTTAGAAAATTCAAATTCATAGAACTAGATTAGAAAGCACCAGGGAGGAGACAGCAGTGGGAAATTACTGATTAATGGACACGTGTATTTTAGCAAATTAAAATTAAAAACAGCAAAAGAGAAATAAAATAAAGGGAAACAGGGAAGAAGAAAGAAAGCCAAATATAGAATCAGAGAAATCAAACAGTGGAAGTTTTCTATTAGTATATGCTATAGAAGTAGCCTTAGGCAAAGAGCATAGCAATAAAACAGTGAAATATGGAAACGTGTGTAAAGAATTTATCCTGGGAAAGCAAACTGCCAACGGCACATTCGAGACGTTCCTTGAGATTTGGCCAGCGCTGATTGGAAGCTGCCTTTTCTGCTGGCTCTCCATACTTACTGGGTGCTTAAGGGTACACAGTTCATACAGAATGCATCCCAAGGACCAGATGTCGCTGGAAGCATAAAGAAGCAATGAAATGATGAAATGGGCTGTGAATGATGATATGAAATACATGCCTGTTTCTTATAGGGGAAAAACCTGAAAGGTCATTCTTTAATAAGAACAGACACCATAAGCAATTCCTACCTACTGAAATAAAGTAAGTGATAATTTTGGGCTAACTGACACATCCAAAGAGTGGCGCGCACAACAGAATTTTCTCAGAGCAATAGTAAAGTGGGGAAGGCACTTACCTTGTATGGGGGTTTGATCCCTGGCACATACCCGCACTCCACTCTCTCCCCTACCCGCACCCCTGCATCTTACCCCCTGCCCTGAGCCCGGCCGGGAGCAATCCCTGAGCTCAGAACCAGGAGTAAACTCTGAGCATAGGTAGATGTAGATGTAGGCCCCAAACAAATACAAATTCTCCTCTCCTCCATCCCTACCCCTAGAGACTAGGGTGAATTGGCTCACTTCAGTAGTGTTTGGTGCAGGAGGAGAGAACGAGGGACTTGGGTTGATCAGAGCACAAAGAGACATGGTAGAAGTCTGCAGCGCCCGCCCATCTGTGCACCCCAGGATCACAGCTGACGTGCAGTGCTCTGTGCCAGGCCCCTGCTCCCAGTAAGCCAAAACGAGTCTCTGGGGCTCTTTCCACCCCGTCCTAGCTCCACCCCCCCAAAACACGAGAACTGATTGAATCACTTGCAAAATAGTTCTCTAAAAATCCACAGCTGAGGCCAAGCATCTCCAGTTTCTAATGTCATTCTCATCACCGACTATCACCTCCCAACCCCAACCCCTGCTCTGTCTAAAGGATGTTCCTTGGGGCCAGCCAGAGCGATAGCCTTGGGGGAAAGTACCTGTCTTGCAGGGACCAACCCAGGCTCAATTCTCAGCCCGGCATATGCTTCCCTAAGCATAGAGGCAGGAGTATGTCCACACCCAGGGGAAAGCCCCCAAAAGGAAGTCAATAAAAAATAAAAATTAAAAGAAACTCCTTCAATTCTGACTCAAAAGTTTTCATCAATGGTTTCCAAGTTTGTGTTCTGTTTTCTTCATTTGAGAGCTCCAGGAAGACTGACAAGGAACACTGCCCGGGGCACCTTCCCCATCCCCTGGAATGGTCTGACTGCCACTTCCTGCACATCACTGGATCTCCCAATCCCTTGCCACGGACCAGCACCTTTTACGTCGACTCAGCAGGAGTTAAAATAATTTTCATTTGATGCTTTTTAAATCCTAAGACTTTGAGGGCTGGTGAGATGGTTTAGAGGGATGATCCTGAATTTGACCTCTGGGAAGATACAGTCGCCCCAGAACCACAGGACCTGAGTTCTGCAGCCTCCTCAGGCCCACACCACTATACCCTGGACCATCCCCCGCCACCCTCTGACCCCCACTACACACACACACACACACACACACACACACACACACACACATACACACCTGGGAAAGGCCTCTGGGGCTCTCTATTTAAAAAATCTATTTAAAAAACTATTTAAAAAATCATTATACTTTATACAAAGACTGTCTTGTACCCAAGAAACCCACCAGTCAAGCACTTCTTATCTAATTCTATAAATGCTTATGCAAAGACATAAATCAGTGTCCCCCAAATTTCACAGCACGTGGGAATAAAACTGGAGATTTCAGAAAATTCCAGACACTTGCTTCCTACCCCAGACATTCTGATTTAACAAGTATGGCTGGAAGCGGAGCTTTGGGATGTTAAAGGCAGAAGCAACAAAGTTTAAGAGCCAATAATGTAATTCATCCTGTCCTGAGAAATGACTTCTTTCTTTTGTAATTTTTTAAATGGTTTTTTTTGTTGTTGTTGTTGCTGTGGTTCTGCTTTGTTTTCAGCTTTATTTATTTATTTTTGGGGCACACCCTGCAGTGCGGAGGGTTACTACTGGCTCTGTGCTCACTGGGATGAGCTCCAGGGGATCAAACCTTGGGCCTCCTGCATGCAAAGCTTCGCTCTGTGAGCTATCGATTTTTTGGACGTTAATGTTTCTATTACTTTGTTGGATGTTTTAGGGCAACATCTGGTGGTGCTGGGTGATTAATTTACTTCCAGCTTTATGCTTAGGGATCACCCCCAGCAGCATTTGGCACCAGGAAGTAAGTGCAGGGGGTCAAAATGAGATCGCTGGCATGCAAGGCCAGAGTCTTAACCCTGTACAATCTCTTCAGTCCCTCAGTATTTTTTAACAAGATACCCCACTTACCTCTCGCAATTTGAAACAACTGGGAAGCTCTAATTTTGGTCTAGAAGACTAGCAATTCAGATTCCATAGTGCTTTCATATATAAAAACTAAGCACGAAAGACCACCCAGTCTTTCGCCCTGATATAAGAATGTTACTTACCTTTTATTGTTATAAGGCAGGTTCTCCCAAATTTCTGGGGGTACATAATAGGGTGTTCCCACATATGTACAAGCAAACGCCATAGGACTAAAACCATAAAAAAATGATTAAACTGGAGGCCCTGCTTAACTGTCTTTGGATATAGATAAAATTTTACTGGCAACACTGTCTCTGACAGCTATCAGGAAAATGTTTAGAAGCCAAAGAGGAGACAATGAGAAGAATTTTTACTGTTTACATTTTCTGTAGTTTCTTCTTCTTAGTCACCCTTAGTAACAGTAATTATTTTAATCACTAATGGGCTGGAGCACAGTGGTAGGGCGTTTGCCTTGCACGCGGCCAGCCTGGCAGAGCCGGGTTCGATTCCTCTGCCCCTCTCGGAGAGCCTGGCAAGCTACCGAGAGTATCTCGCCCGCACGGCAAAGCCTGCAAAGCTACCCGAAATGTGTTCGATATGCCAAACACAGTAACGACAAGTCTCACGATGGAGACGTTGCTGGGCAAATCGATGAACAACGGGAGGACAGTGCTAATACAGTGCTAATGTCTGAAATTATGAAACAAATACCAAAAAAAAAACCCCTGTGTTATCACTGATGAGAAACTTTCTTCTTTAATCAGAAACATTTAACTGAACTTATTTCATATATAAAATCTTTATTTCAATTTGTCACTAAATTTCACTACACTAAATGTTTCCCTAATCTTTAAAATTTTTCCCAGTGATTCAGAAGAGGTCCCCAGCCCCACCATTTTTAGGATGCTTTCAAGTTTTCCACTGTTACAAATAAAATTGTGACAAGCATCCTGGGAGGGTTTTGTTCTTTTTCTCTTGTACTGAGGTTTTGGGAGATCACCAGGAGTAGAAGGTAAATTACCATCAGGTAGTTCTTCATGTATTTAATTGAGGTCTGCCTGTTAAATTGCTTTCCAAAAGCTTTACACTAAGTTACAATACAACCAAAAACATACAAGTATATTTATCTCTGTTCGGTCAAGTATTGGTTTCAGTGCTTCTTACAAGTTTAGTAAGTGAAGCTGATATTTCTTTCCATTTGCATTTATTTGAGATGGATCTGCCTGTTTCCATGTTTATCAGCTCTGCTTTTCAAATATTGCTTATTCATGGATAAGTTACTGTGACTGTTCTTTGTAAACATCCACTATATATATCAAATTGTATAGCTTTCTTTATGATAAACTAATGCTTTATCATACTTGCAATGTACCTAATTTCCACTTCTTTTTTGTTTTTTTTTCTTTTGGGGTCACACCTGGCGATGCACAGGGGTTACTCCTGGCTCTGCACTCAGGAGTTACTGCCTGAGGTGCTCAGGGGACCATATGGGAGGCTGGGAATTGAACCCGGGTCAGCCACAAGCAAGGCAAATGCCCTACCCGCTGTGCTATCTCTCCAGCCCCATTTTTTGCTTTTTGGGTCACACCCAACAATGCTCAAGGGTTACTCCTGGCTCTGCACTCAGAAATTACTTCTGGCAGTGCTGGGGAGAACCATATGGGGTGCCAGGGATCAAACTTGGGTCGGCCACATGCAAGGCAAACGCCCTACCTGCTGTACTATCGCTCCGGCCCTAATTTCCACTCTTATAGAATTTAGTCCCCTTAATTTTTCATAGTCCTTAAAAGTCATTTGTCTTCTAGTGGCTTTATAAATATTACATTCTATTTCCTTCTAGTTTTTCTAAATTGTGTTGCCACTGTTATTGTCGCTCTTCGTTATTTAATTATGTGGAATCTTGGTACAGCCTATCAAGAGTTTGCCTAAAGAAATGCCTTTTAAATTAAAAATAAATGATTACAGGACATTACTGAATACTGATGCTTTGAATAACTGTCACTAAACTAGAACAGACAGACATACTTGGAGACAAGACGGGCTGATCCAAAATCTCCCAGTTTTATTTTTCCGCTTTGAGTGAGGAAGATATTCTGCATTAAAAAAAAGAAAAGCTCAGATTACAATTCCATCGTTCAAACCTAAGGCAGAGGTCCCTGGAGAAGCTGTCTTTCAAAGCCCGATAATGATGGAGATTAATGGTAGAACTGCTGACAGCTGGAGCTCGAGTGGAACACTAAAAGACAAGGTACTCTCTTGACAGCTATTCATCCGGCTGCTTGGGGATTGAAGACGACTGCTTAGAAACTGAAAGAGCGAGCTGTCAGCTGCATCAGCAGAACCTGATTAATCCACGTGGGTCAGAGGAACCTTAGCTGGTGACTCGGAGCCTGGCCATGATCCATCCGAGAGCATGTATGGATCCCGGAAACCATCACTGAAAGAGCTCGGAACCAAGCAGCAAGTACCGCTGAAGAGATTTAAAAGCATTTTTGATTTTAGGAAGTACCTCATTTGGCTAGTAAAATGGGCTAATACTTAAGATATATATAGAATATGTAATATATCTTAAAAGGAATTTGCGGGGCTGGAGCAATAGCACAGCGGGTAGGGCGTTTGCCTTGCATGCAGCTGACCTGGGTTCGATTCCCAGCATCCCATATGGTTCCCCAAGCACCGCCAGGAGTGATTCCTGAGTGCAAAGCCAGGAGTAACTCCTGAGCATTGCCAGGTGTGACCCAAAAAGCAAAAAAAAAAAAAAAAAAACCTTTCTAAAAAAATAAAATAAAAAGGAATTTGCCCAAAGAGAAATATAACAACACAGAAAAAAGACTGAAAGAAATTATTTTTAAGAAGGTATTACCTTGGACTTGATATCTCTGTGTAATACACGTTTCTTGTGGATGTGGTTTACTCCAAGGCACATCTGTGTAAACCAGTTAAGTATCTATAGGGGAAAAGCATGCAAACACGCAAGAGTGTCATAACTGGCTCACAACACAAAGGAACCTTAACATTCTAAGGACCTTCTTTAGGCCTTAGTTGACCTGGGTTTTACATAATGTCAATATGGAACTCTGAAAAGCCATATAGTTCAGCAAAGATTCACTGTTGATTCATAAAAGCTCTAAGTTCCAACTTCATCACCTTCTGTATGAAAAAGAAATGCATTTTCATGTTTTTCCTGTATTCAACCAAGTTAAAGTATTTTTTAAATACATCTAAGTAATTCACCTTCAATACATAAATATACTATAACTATAGTATACCCATTTTATTGATTGTTCATCTTCTTTTTCAGAATATCCAGAGTTAACATTAAAACATCTCATTATATTACCAACAATCCTTTGAGGTCAGCGTTTTCTGCTTTCAAATCCTATGTCAATAGTATCCAGAATTTCCAGGAGCTTAGACCCTCTAAAACTGATTGGTTCCAGGCTGGAGAGAGAGTACAAGGCCAGAGGACTGGCCTTGTACGTGGCTAACCCAGTTTGGTCCCAGCAACCCATAATGGTCCTCTGAACCCCACTAGGAGTGACCACTGAGCTCAGAGCTAGAAGTAAGGCCTGGGCACTTCCGGGTGTATCCTGCCAAATAAACAAACCAAAAAAGCTATTTTTTTTCTGAGATCCATCCCTTTGAAGCTGAGCTTGACCTCCCACATTGTTGACAGCACAACTTATAACCGGAAAACATCTATACCAATACTCTTTATTAATATTTGAAGTCTTTCTGGGTTTGGGGGCAACGCCTAGCTGTGCTTGGGGCTTACCTTTTTTTTTTTTTTTGAACAACCAACACATGTATTTTTTCTATAAGAAATATAACAAACTTCTGTTCTTAGAAACGCCAGACAGCCATCAGCAATATACTTGGAGACATCAAGGATCAGTACAGTGTCAGGGATTGAAGTGGGGTCAGACACATGCAAGAGGCACCGTACTACTTTTTCTACCTCTCTGGCTTCAAATTAGACCATTTTAAATAGTGAAATAATCTAAAAAAAAATTACTAATGTGGAAACTGTGATACTAACTAAGCCATGAAAAAGACACTTCCTTCAATTTCCCTAAATTCAGGCTAGCTGGACATGAATTCCTGATTCTGGAATTACAGTTTTCTAAATAGATTTTATTAAACTTGGAAAATGGAGATACCTAAACACAATGCACAAAAGGAGAAAGAGAGAGAAAGAGAGAGAGAAAGAGAGGGAGAGAAAGAGAGAGAGAGAGAGAGAAGAAAATCACCTGCCATAGAGGCATGAACAGCTTTGTAAGGGTCTATCTCACAGTGATTCAATAAAAAAAAGTTAAAACAAAAAAGAAAATGGAGATACCTATCTCACATAATTAAATATAGTAATACAGTAACTGTCTTCACAGAGAAATTCTCACTGAATATTCTCTAATTGGATAATATTCTCTAATTGTTTTTCTTTTACACTGAGGTAACAATGAATAATTTTAAAGGTATAAAGTATATCAAACCAAATTATTTTTATGTGGCTATGCCAATCAATTATTAATCAATTTAGAAGACTACTTAGAACTCACTTCAGGAAAATTGAAACAGTAAGCTGTATTATCTGCATACCAAAGTTTTGCATTTATTTTCTAGGCTATAAACAAGGGGAAAGTTTGTTTGGGCTTTTAAGCAAAGCTTTACTATTACATACACCTATTGCCTTCTTTATTCATACACATTAAAAACTGACGCATTACACAAATAACACATACTTTTACATTAGGTACTATAATAGCTATAAACCTTACAAAACTTGAGCTATTTAACTTGAGTTACAGTTTGTGAATAAAATCTGTTTTCTATTTTAGTAGACAATTTAGTTTTAAAATAGGTAGGAAAAAATAAAATAGGTAGGGCTTGAAGGCGGATAAATTGTTTCATCTATTTTCACTGTAACTATTGCTAAACATTAAACATTATATATACCTGTTTGTCCTCATATTAAAGTAAATTTTTTTTAAAAATTTGAAAGAAAAGTTAATTTTGAAGGAAATTTATACTTTATTCTTCTTGTGATGTATTAATACAAATACAGCAATCTGTCTTCTAAAATTTTAATGGGTCACTGGGTCACGGTCCTCCCATTGTTCATTGATTTGCTCGCGCAGGCCCAGTAATGTCTCCCTTGTGAGACTTGTTGTTACTGTGTTTGGCATATCAAATACGTCACGGGTCGCTTGCCAGGCTTTGCCGTGCGGGCGAGATACTCTCAGTAGCTTGCCAGGCTCTCCAAGAGGGGTGGAGGAATCGAACCCGGGTCAGCCACATGCAAGGCAAACACCCTACCCGCTGTGCTATTGCTCCAGCCCAAATATAAGTAATATAATTTTTAAATTCCCCTAAACATGGACATTTCAAATTGATATTTTTTTATTAAGTTTCTCTAATTTAGAATAAAATAATCTCATGTAGGCACATGGTGATACTAAGCAACAGCACCAGTACAAGAATGAAGCATTTTCAGTGACAGTTGGAAATGATCACTCGGACAAGAACTGAGTGCTGAAAGGAGGTAAAGGGACATACAAGATAACCTTTCAGTACCTGTATTGCAAATCATAATCCCCAAAAAGAAAGAGAGAGAGAGAGAGAAAGAGAGAGCAAGAGAGAGAAAGAAAGAAGAAAAGTGCCTGCAAGAGAGGCAGGCTGGGGAAGGGGGATGGTGGGAGGGAAACTGGGGGCATTGGTGGTGATTCATTAAAAAAAATTGAAATGCATAAAAAACCAAAAATGAGTCATTTCCAACTCATGTACCAGATAATGCTAGATATTAATGCTTTTATTTTATTCACATTTTAAACTTTTTTCAAATGATCATATTAAATAATAATAAATTATAAATGTTTATTATTACTAAATAATAACAGTCTTTTATTATTGTTATTTTGGGAGCCACACTCAGTAGTGCTCTGGGATCACTTCTGGCAGGGCTCAGTGGACCATATACAATGCCTGGGATCAAACTCTGGTTGTCCACATGCAAAACAAGTGCTTTGTCCGTAGTACTAACTCTCCAATTTAAAAAAAAAAAATAGATGACACGCCATAGCCATGCCACTGGATCCCACATCAGGCTGTTTCATTCAGGGCACCCCGGAGGGGAGCAGGTGAGACCCGTCGCTGCCCCAAGGACCCGACCCCAGCAGCCAAAAACCTCCAGAACTCAACTGCCGCCATGCTCATGGCTGCTCTCCACATGCTTGGGCCAAGACTCATCCATGAGTAAACCTATTCTTAGACCACGCGGCCACACTCATGACCATACAATATCTCATACTCACACCACTAATATTCCAAGAGTAGCCCAGGCAGTTTAAAGTAGAAGGTAAGCTTCCTGCCCCGCTGAGACCATGAGTTGCCCCCATGAGAGGCTCTCCGGCATGACCATGGACCCAGAGGCACATGGACGTAATTCAGAACCCAGCAGCTTTTGGCAGAAATGTGAAAGGACTATGCATTAAGCTACGGCGCTGTGCCCCCCCCCCCCACCCTGGGAGGGCAAGGGTGTCTGTCTCTTCCGCCTTCTCCCACCCTTGGCACAGTGGCTGCCAGTTCAGACCCTATTGGACAGCTAGGTATGAGTGGGTGGTGACAGGGCAACTATGGCCTCATGGGATGGGGGGCAGAACCAGTACATCCTTCCCACCCCACCGAGACCACGAGTTGCCCCCACAAGTGGCTCTCCCACACAGTCATGGAACCAGAGGCACAAAAACCAATCTCGGTACTATGCAGCTTTTGACACAAATCTCTCCAGACTTAATTAGTGAAGTATCAGAAATCCAAAATCGACACTGAAGAGCGTTATGAAGAACAACATCATAACCAGCAATAGAAAACAAATTATTTCAAGATGCCTTTTTAGGAGGTCTGATTGTTGGGGGGAAATTCCAAATAATAATGGTGCATCTTTTGTCAAAATAATGAATGTAATCAAAGTAGAGAGAGAGAGTTAAGTGGAAATCGTCTGCCTCACGGGCAGGGGGAGGGGTGGAATGGGGGGTATATTGGGGTTCTTGGTGGCGGAAAATATGCATTGGTGAAGGGATGGGTGTTTGATCATTCTATGACCAAGACTTAAACCTTAAAGCTTTGTAACTGTTCTCACGGCAATTCAATAAATAAATAAATAAAGTAGAAAGTAAAGGCAAAGTAACCAATCTTAGAAATATATTTTTACGTATGCACACAAGGCTCAGCCTTTAACATGTTAATGAGCTCTTAATGGAAGGGCTTAATGGCCCCTGGGTGGAATACAACAATCTTCACATGCTTTCCTCTAAGGAAACTTTTCCGGATCATTTTCAGTGATTTATTCATAACAAAAGACATAAAATAAATTATTTCAGTTCTGCTTTGGGGCAGGGGTTGGGGTTCGGGATGGAAACATCCAAAATATGGTGGTGGCGGGGCTGGAGTGATAGCACAGCGGGTAGGGCATTTGCCTTGCACACGGTCAACCCAGGTTCGATTCCCGGCATCCCATATGGTCCCCTGAGCACCGCCAGGAGTAACTCCTGAGTGCAGAGCCAGGAGTAATCCCTGTGCATTGCCGAGTGTGACCCAAAAAGAAAAAAAAATGGTGGTCGGAAGGTGTAATGGTGGTGGAATTGATGTTTGAATATTAAATGTAATCGAATATTGTGAACGAATTTATAAAAATAAAATAAAATTTTGAAAAATAGAGCTCTACCTGGCTTTATTAAACAGTTCATGAATTGGACTTGCATACTGCCCAGCAAAGGAAGAGGACAGCTTTCACTTTAACTTGTATAAATTTTATGGAAAGAGTGATTCTGAGGGAAATCGTGAGTCGGCCTCTTACCACATCTTCAGGAAACAACTTTCCTTTCTGATGTTTAATCCTCTGCATTAGATCTCCCCCGTCACAATACTCCATCACAATATACAGATGTCCTTCAGCTGAAACAAATGCAAGGTTCTTTAGGGGTATCCTAGAGGCCACAAATCAAATTCAGAGGACACTGAGATGCTGAATTCCTATTTACCTTCAAATGACTCCTTAAAGGCAACCACATTAGGGTGCTTCATTCTGGCCAACAGAACTGCCTCTTTCCTACAATTCTGTGTATCTGAGAAAGACTAGAAAAGAGATGTTCAATAACTATCAGCAAACTATTTCATTTGAAAAGCAACCACTACACATGGTATATATTCCATAGTATTATTTGTATCAAACTTCAATGTCACACGCTTTAGGTCTGTTCTCTTCAATGCACTGTTATACCTTTTAAATCATATCACCAATGGGGCTGGAGCTATGACACAGCAGGTAGGGCATTTGCCTTGCATGCGGCAGACCTGGGTTCAATTCCCAGCATCCTATATGGTCCCCCAAGCACCACCAGGAGTAATTTCTGAGTGCATGAGCCAGGAGTAATTCCTGTGCATTGCCGGGTGTGACCCAAAAAGCAAATAGTAATAGTAATAATAATAATAATAATAATAATAATATCACCGTTAAATTGCTTTTATTTATTTATTTATTTATTTGCTTTTTGGGTCACACCGGGTGATACACAGGGGTTACTCCTGGCTCTGCACTCAGGAATTACACCTGGCAGTGCTCAGGGGACCATATGGGATGCTGGGAATCAAACCCAGGTCAGCCGGGTACAAGGCAAATGCCCTACCTGCTGTGCTATTGCTCCAGCCCCTAAATTGCTTATAATAAAGCTTTCCTACAGCTTTAGGCAACATCAAATTGAATAGCACAGCGGTAGGGCGTTCGCCTTACAAGCGGCCAACATGGTCGACCCGAGTTCGATTCCTCTGCCCCTCTCGGAGAGCCCGGCAAGCTACCGAGAGTATTCGATATGCCAAACACAGTAACAACAAAGTCTCCAATGGAGACGTTACTGGGCCCGCTCGAGCAAATCGACGATCAACGGGAGGGCCTTTACCTGTACCTCAAATTGAAAATCATTACAAATAATTTTCATTGAGATCAAATAAGCACCGACTAAACTTTGATGATTTTTATCCCTTTTACTTAAATGCAGCATCCTAAGAATACAAAACACGCCAAGGTTTTGGCATGCTGCAGCAAGAATATAAAACATACCCATCTTGGGGCTGAAGCAATAACACAGCGCGTAGGCACTTGCCTTGCACGTGGTCGACCAGGGTTCGATCCCCAGTATCCCATATGGTCACCCCACCCCCCCAAGCACCGCTGCCAGGTGTAATTCCTGAGTGCAGAACCAGGAGTAATTCCTGAGCATGGCTGGGTGTGACCCAAAAAAGCAAAAACAAACAAAAAAAAACAAAAACAAAAAAACCCTTCCCATCTTTGGCACTAATGAGTTCTTGTTGAACCTCAAGAACTAATTCTCCTTCATAAACTGTCCACTGTGCATACTATCACACAATCTTGGCACTTGCCAGTCACCTTGGGAAGCCTTATTTCCTTCATGGCAAACATCTGGGTACTGCTCTTCTGCTGAACCAAGAGGGCTCTGCCGAAGGAGCCCTCGCCGATCACTCTCAGGACCGTGTAACCATCCATGCTGGGGCGTCCCCACAGCCTTGCTTCACCGTGGTGCTGCACAGACTCTCCCAGACTGTACTCACAAAACAGAAACACCAGAATGAAATTAAGTCTCAGATCACGATCACGAGCATCCTGTTGTTCGTCGATTGCCTCAAGCAGGCCCCAGTAATGTCTCCTTTGTCCTAGCCCTGAGATTTTAAAAAGTGCCACATTCGAGGCTCTTTCAGGGTCAGGAGAATGAGATCCATCATTGTTACTGGTATTTGACCTATTGGGTACACCACGGGGAGTTTGCCAGACTCTGCTGTGTGGGCAGGTTATATTCGGTAGCTGCCAGGTTGTCCAAAGTAAGAATGAGATAATAAGATGTCGCACGGCCACAAATGCGGCTGCATGCTTCCGGGAGCTAAGTTTTATAGTCTCTGGGTCTTGGCCATTGATGGGATTACACGGCGCCATTGGGCCAGTTGATGGGTGTAACCCCTGCCTACTGGAAGATGGAGGATCTGGGTGGAGGATGCTCAGCCCCGATCCGAACAGGCTTGGAGATCTCAGCCCCAGGATCCGCATGCCTTTGTTCCTCTGCCAGTACCTTCATGCGTGTGGAGAGTGGTCTCAGCATGGTTGTGGCTGGTTCTGGAGGTCTTCAGCTGCCGGAGCTCTGCTTGGGGCGGGGAGGGAAACTCAACCCGCCCTCCTCCAAGGGGCCCTGGTCCCTCAGATGGTGGAACTAATTCAAGGAGCCCCCATCAGAACAGGACTAGGGTCATGCTCCCACTTTTGTCTGTGCATCAAGCAGACACACAGCACCCACACCAGCTCTGCACAGACCTCCCACTGCCTCTGCCATCACCAAGGCGTCAAGGGGGACGGGACATACACTTCCACAGCAAGTTTTAACTCAACTACATAGGGTGGCAGGTTTTAACAGGAGTCTTGTTAACATATTACTGAGATAAATAGCCAAGGGAATTAGAAGTGCCGCTTTAAGACCAACCCAAGGCTGAAGGCTGAAGGCTGAAGGCTGAAGGCTGAGAAGTGAAAGGAAGGGAAGAGAGACTGAGGCGGAGGGAAAGCAGAAGGAAAAGCAGAAGAGACTTGCATGCAGCCTGGGGATTAAAAGAGCCTGTAACAGGCTGGCAGAAGAAACAGGGTCTGATCTGAAAGCCATTGTTAAGAACAGTGAAGTTGTTGGATTTTATCCTCAGGGTAATGGGCTGTCTCTTAAAGGAATGTAAGAGAGGATTTAACATATATATATTAATTTAAATTTGTATCACTGTATCACTGTCATCCCGTTTGTTGTTAATTGATTTACTCAAGTGGCACCAGTAATGTCTCCATTCGTCCCACCCTTGAGATTTTAGCAGCCTCTCCTTACTTGTCTTTCCCAATGCTGCAATATTGGAGGCTCTTTCAGGGTCAGGGGAATGAGACCTGTATCATTTAAATATGTAAATATGTATTATCTATAACTGAGAAAAATGTATATATTGATATAAATATATAAACTCATAAATATATAATCAATAACACTGAGGTATATGTAGATTATATATTATCTATACATGTGGATCACATACATAGAAATTTATCATTGTACTCACATATGAAGAAAACCTCTAACTACAGCGAGAATGGACCAGGTATGGGAAGCAAGAGGAGAGCGAAGATAAAGACTCCAAAAATTAGAAAAGGCTGGAAAATGATGGGGTGGAAAATGGGTTGAGATGGCAAGGAAGAAAATGTGTAGAAAGAATTGGCAAGATTGGAGGTGATAGGTTTCTGGGAGAGAACTAAAGGTGGATTCCAGGTTGAGATAAACTGGAGTAAATGGTCCTACGCAGAAGGCAGTGTATGTGTGTGTGTGTGTGTGTGTGTGTGTGTGTGTGTGTGTGTGTGCGCACATGTGTGCACGTGTGTGTGCACACACATGCATGTGCGTATGATGTTTCTGGCTGTGAGAAGGTGGCAGGAATGAGAAAAGCAGGAATTCTTTTGGGCCAGTTTCAGCTGGAGGTGCCTGACTGAAAGGGGTGCTCAAAACAGCCCGTGGCTTCAGTCTCCTGCTCACAACTACAGGATGATCTAAGCGGGCAGGACTTTGTAATACAAGAAAATCCACAGAAAGGACCAACATCACCCAGTGTCAGCAAGCCTCATGCGTGAGGCTCCAAGGAACCGGTAGAGGAACCCAGGTGTGCGGGACCCGGGGCTCAGATCTCCAAGCCTGCCTGGATTGGGACTGGGCCTCCTCCACCCAGATCCCCCATCTTCCAGTAGCTAGGCGTTACACCCACCAACTGCCCCTGGCGCCGCGTAATCCCATCAACGGCCAAGACCCAGAGACTATAAAACCCAGCTCCTGGAAGCGAATACGGCCACATGACATCTTATTATCTATTTCTTACTCTGGGGAACTTGGCAGGCTACGAAAGTATCCTGCCCGCATGGCAGAGTCTGGCAAACTCCCCGTGGCGTATTCAATATGCCAAAAGCCAGTAACAGTGATGGGTCTCATTCTCCTGATCCTGAAATAACCTCAAATGTGGCACTTTCTAAACTCTCAGGGCTAGGACAAAGGAGATGTTACTGGTGCCTGCTCGAGGAAATCAATGAACAGGATGACAGTGATACAGTGATATATATATATATGTATATATATACACATATATATACATATATATATTTGTAGTGTCATCTATATAGTTTGTTGTTGTTTTTAAGTCACATCACTTGGTGTCAGAGAGATAGATAGTACAGCAGGTAGGGCACTTGCTTTGCACGCGGCTGACCGGGTTTCCTTGCCGGCATCCCATAGGGTCTCCCAAGCACTGCCAGGAGAAATTCCTGAGTGCAGAGCAGAAGTAACCCCTGACATTGCTGGGTGTGGCTCCAAAACAAAAAGGGAAAAAAAAGGCACATGTAGCAAACCACAACATTTAATAAAGCAAAAATAAAAAAAGAACAGTTTGCTTCCTATTTATCACAGGATGACTGGGGGAAACACAAAGCACTTGGGTCTCCGGGTGTCTGTGGAGATTTATTTAAATTTATGATCGAGGAGGCCAAATCTAAACCTTTTGCTGCAGGCCTGGGCAACAATTGGGGAAGAACGGAAGGTGCCTCTGCCCTAAGCGATGGTAATGCAGAAGCGGCAGGAAGCGCACCTGGTGCTTCCTGCGGCTTTGCATTACCCGCGGCAGGAATCGGATTAATCGAATCTGATTCCAAGACCGGGTAGGCGGATGGGCGGGCCTGGGTGGGTCTACACCAGTCAAAACATACCAAAGTGACTGGCCAACGCTCTCCAGTGGGATGTCGGGGAGACAGAGGCCGGGACCCTGGTGGGCGATGGGCCTCGCCCGCTCCCCGCGCCCCCTCCCCTGGGCCCGACCCCCGCGCGCGCGCGCGCGCGCTCCAGCTGCACCCCGAGCTGCGAGCAGCCCCGGCCCAGGGGGAGCTGGGACGCGGATGGACCCCCTGAGCTCCCGGCGCACGCCTCCCTCGGTCTCCCACCTCGCCCCGGTGCCGCTGACCCCAACCCGTGGCCGCTGGCCGCGCCGGGACCCCCGCGATCCGCTCACCTAGGGCCTCGGGACACTGGCGCGTTTCCGCGGGGCGGGGCGCGGGGCGTCTCTCGGGTTCACAGCCAGAGAAAGCGGCCAGAGTCTGGCGGGCGGTGCTGTTTCCGGGGTGGTCGGGCCCACTAAGGGCATTTATTTTATTATTATTATAATTATTACTACATTTTAAGCACCGTGATTTACTGTTACTGGTAGCGTTTCAGGGCTGCAACGTTCCACCACCAAAACATCCACATTGCTGAAAATCACTGCACTATCGAGGGGAAATGACTTGAGACTGCTCGCTCAAGATTGTGCACGTGATAGTATTTGGGGGGGTGGGAGGCTGTAGAACACCCCCAACACCACCACTCCCACCAAAAAAAAAATCCAAATTCTATTCCCTGGGAATTTGTGCACATTTAGGTTAAAATAAAAAGGGGTCTAAGATTGTAGATGGGATTGAGGTTGCTCACAAGCTTTCAGAAGTGAGGTGCTAGGCAATGACAAAACCCATAATCTGCCCAGGAATCAGTTGCTGAAGAAAAAAAGCAAATTTTATGGGCCTGCAGGTGGAGGGAGCGACTGAGAAAGTATTAGATGGTAAAAAAGAGGAAGGACAACAGGAATAATAGCACTGATGTTTCAAACTCAGCACTCTTGGAGTTGGCTTGGAGAACAATTTGGTAAAGGGCTGGAAGAAGGGGCCTGGGGGTGTCTTGTACTCAGCTGATTGTTCAGCACTTTTCTGACTTCACATGCGAGGCGTCAGCAATACTCCTTGCACTCAGATGTGGCCATCAAAACTGTCCCAGACAATAAAATTGTCTGAAGATCAGGGTGGGTATGAGGCAAGGAGGAGGGACTTGGCCTTGGTTTCAAATCACTGATCTAGTTGGATACGCTGAACTTCAAAAGAAGCTGGGAGAGGAATAGTGGGGGGGGGGGGGGGGGGGGAAAGGTGATAAATACATGACAGGCGATGGCAGGCATCACTGCTTGCTTTGCAGTACATGAGGTAGAGTGAGTGAGCGAGTGAGACTGGTTAGGGGTAGATTTCTGTCCTGGTGAGACATGCAGCAAGAACAAATACTGTCTATGAATTACACTGATACACGCAATGACCTTTGAGTCTCAAAGCTCATTTCCTGAATTTCTAATGAGACAGTAGTTGCAAATTCCAGGCTTGTGGGTTAGAGCAAAAGGGATTGTCTTAATTCCTTAAGTTACTCCTTATGTATTAAGGGAGTCAAGCCTGGTATAATTTCATCTGAAGTCAGATATCTAGAAATAAGGAATGCTCTGAGGGCAATTTCAAACAAGTATAAGACTGCTCAGGCTTCTGAGAAAACGCTAACAGAAAAAGAGAAGTGTTAAGTGTCCACAAGCCGAGGACTGTGACACACAGAGACAGGGCCGATTTTTCAAGGTTTTATTCACACACTAAAA